ATATATATATATTTATATATATAATATATATATTTCAATCTAAAAAAATTGAAACAGATTCTAATTGTCCTTTTTTTTAACAAAAAAGGAAATGTAAGGATAAGTCCAGCAGATCTCTGGGCTGTCAATATATGGCATATTGTCCTTTCATGGCTTAAACCTTTAATTAACGGAAACGCCAGCACATTTTGAGCCAAAACAAAATAAATTTAAAAAACAAAACAATTAGAGGCTTAAATAAATCATTTGTCATTTGTGTAAAGCTCCGTTTTGGGGAATGCATGCCGCAAGTTGACAGTGCCTCCTTTTTTAATACAATCGAATACCACATTACCCACCCCTTCCCCACACGTACGACTAGCAGGCACGAGCGGTATAAAAGGTTATGCAAGCCGGTAGTCGAAACTCCTGAAGTGTGGCGCGCTGTCGGATTTTAAAGTGGGGAACTTCTAGTACCGCTCACTAGAACATAATACCAAAATAAGATATACATTAAAGCAGAACACCTAAAGCCATGTCTCATTTTAATGCAGTCTTCGTTGTTATGGTATCTTTGATTTTACAGTCAGGTAAGTAATTGGGCCACGAATTTTTTTTTACTATCACACAACTGTATGTTTAGACAATAAGAAATGTAAAATAATTTAGTTGTATAGGTAAGAGCGTTAATTAATTTACCAAAACTCTATGTGTTTTATTAAACGATACAACATTGTAAGTATTAACATATTTTTAATGACATGTGTGCGTTTTAATTATAAAGCTGTTTAATTTTAAATAGATCTTTTAAAAACTATAAGTGACGCCTTTGCCTGTTCTTAAACTAAATTAGAAAATTTTAACGCAAAGAAAGTTTATTAATTTCTTAGATAATTAAATTATGAATTCGTTACATGAAAACCGAGTCCCTTGTCTCATTCGTTGAAAATGAAGAATCTCGTAAAATGCATTTATTTGCCAGCAATTTAATTATGGGGCTTTTAAGCGCTTGATTTCATAGGAATTAAAATATAAATTATTATAATTTATTCTCTTGCTTTTAGCACCAGTTGCTAAATCTGGATGAAACATCAATGATTTATGTTTTTATTTTACAAATTCAGAGTGGAGGCACGCACACAACACAAAAAGGGAAGAGGGGTGGAAGGGAGGGGGGGGGAGACACATACACCAACCAGAGCCGTCGCGTGACTTTTAAAGGGCATCTCTGCCACTTTTCAATTTTGTGCCCGAAAGCAAATAGTTTCATTAGTTTCCACATATTAACTTTGGGCCCCTTATACACAACAGAGCCCACCCAGCCCCACCCCCTTACAGCCTCAGGGATTGCTGGGTCCACACGATGGCCCATACTTGTAGTGAGAGAGTAATAAAGAACAATCATGTTTTACTTATTATTTTATTTTTGGCTTTTTTGAATTGCGATTGTAATTTAATCAAGAACGAATTAAAACATTTATTGAGTTTATGTAACGATAGAAACTAAACAATAACTTTAACCACATTCACACACCCACACGCTCGGGGCCGGATTTACATATTTCTGCGCCCTATATAGTGGCGTAGCGAGGGTGTTTGGCTCCCGGGGGAAAGATTCGCGCCCGGGGACAAGATCCATTTTAAAGCGCCCCCTTTTCTTTTTTTCAACTCTCAAACCCATTATTTTTACCAATAATATAATATCAAAGCACATTTTGGCGCCCCTAACTAGCTTGCGCCCGGGGACATCTGTCCCCCTTCCCCCCTCTCGCTACGCCTCTGGCCCTATACCAATGTACACATTTCTACGCCCTATACCAATGTACACATTTCTACGCCCTATACCAATGTACATAATTCTGCGCCCCCACCATCCATGGTGGCGAGCCACCTTAGGAACGCCAAAGGCGTGACTTCCTTTAATAATTTAACCTTAATCAGTAAGGGGTGGATTTCCTCCTGCGGATTACTAGGACCCCCCGCCCCCCCCCCCGGGGACAAAGAGTAATCCTATATGTAATGGCCAAGCAGATTTTTTTTTGTGTGGGTGGGGGAGGGGGATATTCACTGACACCTTCTTGCGAAGGTTTCCTCAGAGCTGTCGACCACATAGATTCTAGTAGTGTTTAATTCTAAAGTTTTTTACTAGGCACTCCCTGCCCCTACATTAAACACCACGTGACACATTCAAGCTAGTGATTTGAACAAACTTGAAATATCTAATAAATGTCTTTTTTAAAAAACATTTTTAAAAAACATGTTTCAACCAAATTTAAGTTTATATCCTTTTATATAATCTGTGTAGACTTTTGAGTGTTATTCTTCTCTGTCTTCTGCTTCGATTCTTCTTCTTCTTCTTTGCCTTTTCAGCTCCCAGTGGAGCATAGACCCATTGTTAGTTTCTCTTTCCAAGCCCTCCTGTCTCTGGCTATCCTCTCTAAACCTTTCAAACTCTATCCAGTCTTTGTTGACATCTTTGCTGACATCTTTGTTGACATCCTTGTTGACAACTTTGTTGACATCTTTGTTACAACTTTGTTGACATCTTTGTTACAACTTTTTTACTTCTTTCTTGACATGTTTGTTGACATGTTTGTTGACATCTTTGTTACATAAATTTTAACATCTTTGTTTCTTCTTTGTGACATCTTTGTTTTTTTTTGTTACATCTTGATAAATCTTTGTTGCATAAATGTTAACATCTTTATAACATCTTGTTACATCTTTGTTACATAAATGTTAAAATCTTTTTTACATCTTTGTTACATCTTGTTACATCTTTTTAGACATCTTTGTTAAATCGTTGTTAAAATCTTTTTTACTTCTATGTAAAATCTTTGTTACATTTTTCTTGACATCCTTGCTAATATCTTTGTTACATCTTTGTAAACATATTTGTGACACATGTGACATCTTTGTTGACATATTTGTGACATATGTAACATCTTTGTAAACATATTTGTGACATATGTGACATCTTCGTTGACATATTTGTGACATATGTAACATCTTTGTTACATCTTTGTTGACATCTCTTCTCCATGTGCTTTTGGTGTATTCCTCGTCCACTTGACCATCGAGGGTTCCGTGCCCATTTGATTTAATCTACCCGTATTAGTCTATTATGTATGTATGTAGGCCTATAATTACATCAAGGCAGATCTTCATATTTGAAAATAAATTAATTAATAAATACTATTGATGCTAAAAATAGCAGTTGGTCGGTTGCCGGTTAGGAGTGCGCCTTAGTGGGATTCAGTGGTTTCTGTAAGTGTGTTTGTCTGCTCTTTGAATGTCATGTCACAATGACATGTCCCCCAAAATTTCGTTTATGAAGAGCATAAAAATACAATCACAAATCTATTAAAACTAGTTCAACTTCAACAACAAATAGCTCACCAAACAAAAAGGATTTTAAAAATTCGTTAACAAAAAACAAACAAAAAAATCACCCATGTTTTTACTACTTTAAAAAAAAATACCAACGCTATAAGGGACTGCCAATGAGGTTATTACTTCCCTTGTCACCCCGAGTTATTGTTCATACAGGAGAGTACAAAGAACGACAAAGATGGTTCCTCAGATGGCGAAAACAGCCTTTGAGACCTGGCGAGTTGAAGAAATTAAGAAATTTTTACGGGAATTGCATCAGCCTGTATCTGGAAATAAAGCAGAACTAGTAGATCGAGCACGCGGCTGTGTAGCATTGCGAATTTGTTGGAAAAAACCAGTAAAGACGAACTATTCCATCGTCCAAACTTTGATAATCTAACAACTCCTTCAGGAGCGAAAATGCCCGATCCTGCATGGGATATTTTTTTAGAAATCCCGCTATGACGCGAGTCCCACTATCTATTTATAACTTTGAAAGAGATTTGAAAAAAAAAAAAAATCACTATTGAATTAAGAACCTCCGAGCTTTTTTTTTGTTTTCTGAGATGAGATCTAGACCTTTTTCTGAAATGAGATCTAGACCTTTTTCTGAGATGAGCTCTAGACCTTTTTCTGAGATGAGATCTAGACCTTTTTCTGAGATGAGATCTAGACCTTTTTCTGAGATGAGGTCTAGACCTCAGAGTCGTCGGGGTTTCCTGCAACCGATGCGGTGGAAAGTAATGTCGTGGAAGAAAATTTTAACGATTAATTTTTGAATCCAGGGGAACGCACCCGGAACAGAGGGTCCACGAAAAGTCAAGCAAAAGTTATCCGCCCTACCCCCCTGGGCCACCATTTTCTTTCAACACAAGGCTTTTTTTTTTTTTTTTTAAATTCGGCCGACAGACTGAGCCGGCTTTAAATAAATAAATTTAAAAATATATATATTTAGTGACATATTATCAGGAACTCGTGCCGGCCGCGAGAAATATTTCAAACGGAACGTCTAAATTCCTCAACATGTCAAAAATGACGGAGTGACTTCCTGAAAATAATGCTTTTGTAGTTTTTGTATGACAACCCTGCAACAAATTTACACTTTTTAAAGCATGGGGTCAATTTTACAGCGGTGACCCAATTTAACCTTGAACTACTTGTCATTAAATTATGAAACGTTGGTTATATTTTGTGTGACCATAATTATGCGAGGCAAATGTCTGTAAAGGGTATTTTTCAGATGATATCCAAAGAACGATTGTGAACGAGAAGAGCTTCATGATGAATATTGTAATAAAATCATTTTAATATTCTTAAAACAATAATTACCACAGCGTGGTTCTCATAAGATTCCAACTGGTGCTTTATTACTGTACTACTTTTTATTTTACTTTATATTTTTAAATTGGAAAGCTCCTATAGATTAGAAAGAAACTGTATGATCTGTATGATCTGTATGATCTGTATGACAGGTCAAATTTGACCTGAAACCTAATTTAGTTGCAATTGTTTTACTTTATACATGCTTTAACTGCTATAACGGAAGTGGATTTATTTTAAAAATAATGATAATAACCTAATATTTTGTCTATATACAGAGTGTCAACTTTACAACCTATTGAGTGCCTTCCAGAGCCCGAACCCATATTCAGGAAGTCCACTTTTCTCTTTCGCTTCTCAGATGCCCGGATGTAAGTCTTTTAAGTTATACTTTTTTTTTCTAGACTTTTCATAGCTCCGCGTAAAGATAATGCCTTTTTATCTTTGGAGCAGGGACTTGAAAATGAATAAATGGTAAAATCACAAAATAATACGACGTACATTCGTATAGTTCTAGACATGATGTATTTATTGATCGATTTCCAAAATCAATAAATCAATAGGACAATTTAATTAAGGTCAAGAAATAACATTAAACTAATTCCACAGCGGGAGTTACGGTGCTGCTACAAGGATCGTATTGCTACTTTCGAGAAATGGTAGGAGAAGGGCTCTAAAATTTCAATTTTGTTCTTGGTGCTAAAATTATGGGGGCTGGCACACAGGGTACATTTACGTTTCTGCAGCTTTAACGCTTTTGCCCCCCCCCCCCTCCATATAGACCCTTATTTATTAGGGTTACTTTCAACAGTGTGGGCGACCTCTTGTGTCAGGGGTATGCAGATTCAAAATTTAGACACATAGTTCTCAAAAAAAATTTCAATTTTGTTCTTGGTGCTAAAATTATGGGGGCTGGCACACAGGGTACATTTACGTTTCCGCAGCTTTAACGCTTTTGCCCCCCCCCCCCTCCATATAGACCATTATTTATTAGGGTTACTTTCAACAGTGTGGGCGACCTCTTTTGTCAGGGGTATGCAGATTCAAAATTTAGACACATAGTTCTCAAACTTTGGAAAAACGGATTTCTTGTGACACACTACTTTGTTGCCAGTGGTACACAAAATGTTTGCTTACTTTATTTACTAGCACAGAATTCCAAACGTTTGAGAACCCCTGACGTACATTATTTGAAACTCGATCTACATCAGATTCCCATTTCAGCCTGTAGCGCGCATATAAAAAAAATCCAATTGCTGGTGGTCCGCATCACAACATATTACATGGGTCATTATTAACCGAACATTTGGCTACTATGAAATGAAAGAAAGTGTGGGCTAAAATTGAAACTCAATTAGAAGCTTCGCTTATGTTTAAAGCCTTTATATTAACTTCACTTTTGTTTGTGTGTTTGTGTCGTATAAAATTTTCGAAAGTATAAATGACCCACTTCCCGTCATCCTAACGAGCTGAAACTTGGCACACAGACTCGTAGCTAATGAAAACACTTTCTTTCAAATTTTCAGCCTCAACCCACAAAGAGTCAATTTTACCGTTTTTTTTTTTTTTTTAAAGTGTGTGTGTGAATGTTAATACTTCATTAAATGGGTGCTTGTTTTTGGTGTGGAGATTAATGCTATGTGCTTTGTATTTGCGACATATTCGGGTAAAAATAAATCTTTAGTTAATTAGGTTTTACAAGGTTGTTTAATGCAACGGTCAAGAATGGGGTAGTCTACACTTTTTCTTTTCTTTGTCAGAGAATTCTGCAGTGGTTGGTAGCTGAGATTTTCTCGGAACTTTTTATAAACCCAATTAAATAAAAAAACAATTATAATTGTCAAAAAATCTTCTTTGATCCCTTCAGAATATTACCTACCCTTGATTTGGGCACAATATGTGCCACCTGTTCAGACCATCTCTACTCTCCTGACATGTGCCACCTGTTCAGCCCATCTCTACACTCCTGACATGTGCCACCTGTTCAGCCCATCTCTACACTCCTGACATGTGCCAGCTGTTCAGCCCATCTCTACACTCCTGACATCTGCCAGCTGTTCAGCCCATCTCTACTCTCCTGACATGTGCCACCTGTTCAGCCCATCTCTACTCTCCTGATATGTGCCACCTGTTCAGTCCCTCTCTACTCTCCTGATATGTGCCACCTGATAAGCCTTTCTCTACTCTCCTGAAATGTGCCACCTCGTCAGCCCATCTCTACTCTCCTGATATGTGTCACCTGATAAGCCCCTCTCTACTCTCCTGTGTTGTTGGCAATATATGTTAAAGTTATTACGAAATAACGAAGTTTATGTCTCCGAACCAAATGAAATAACCGCTATGTGATTCAAATAAACTAACTTTTGAACCTGCCCTGTAAATGAGCTCTTCTGACATTGCCATTGACATTTTCTTAAACGGCATTTTCAGCTCATCAAAATGCAATCGGTGCCGACAGAACGGCATCGCAGTTCCCGTCCCCACAGGCGCCCCAAGTTCTTCTGAATGCTTTTAAAAATGCACAAGGTAAGCCAAACCGGGAACAGTGTAAGTCACAACATGGCAAATAGTTTAAGTCACAATACTGTAAGTCAAACACAATGGATACAATGCAGGTCAAAAAGTGTACTACAGTTTATGTCATAACGTGTACAAGGTAAGCAGTGACATGTACAATGCTGTAAGTAAAACACAATAGATATAATGTATAGGTTAAACGTGTAGTATAGTTTATGTCATAACGTGTACAAGGTAAGCAGTGACATGTACAATGCTGTAAGTAAAACACAATAGATACAATGTAGGTCAAAACGTGCACTATAATTTATGTCATAACGTGTACAAGGTAAGCAGTGACATGTACAATGCTGCAAGTAAAACACAATAGATACAATGTAGGTCAAAACATGTGCAATTTACGTCACGTCTGCATGGGGGCGATGTCTGGGTGGAGCTTTGGGGGAAGGGGAGCGATTATGTCAAATAACGCAGTTTCTCTCCGGACTAGACACAGCTTAAAATGCCTAGAGTCTAATCCTATAATGAGTTGTTTATTTTAGGTTGTTTTTTTTTTTAAATCCATCTCCTCACTGAAGAAAGCATATTTTTTTTTTTTTTTATAAAAAAAAAAATTTTGATAATTTTTTATTTTTTTTTATAAATTGTTAACAGCTTAAAATGCCTAGAGTCTAATCCTATAATGGGTTGTTTATTTTAGGTTGTTTTTTTTTTTAAATCCATCTCCTCACTGAAGAAAGCATATTTTTTTTTTGTTTTATAAAAAAAAAAAATGTCGATAATTTTTTAATTTTTTTTAAAAATTGTTGGACTGGTTTCAAGTTGTCCCTTATCGTCTGTATCTTCTCTCTTTCTTTCCTTTTTATAACGAGATCGCAATCTCCTACCCACAGCCCCCCTCATTATTTCTTTCAAGTCAGATGTTAGTAATACACCAGCTGAAAGAGCTTTCCTATCTCTTCCCCTCCACCCCCACCCCCCACCTCCCCGCACAGGACCTCCACCAGGGGCGGCACCACTACCTAATCCAATGAGTAACATGATGAACATGATCGGCGGCATGGGAGGCCACGGCTTGAGTCAACCACATGGTGGCGCTGGCGGTCACGGGATTATGCCCATCAGTGGCGGGGTGAGTTGGCTTTCCTCACTGCTGTAATGACACTAACATTATCCTGCAAATTTGGCGTTACAGCGACTATGGTTTTAATTGCAAGGGGAAAAAAAATGACTATTATATAAAAAAGAAAATGTATTTTAACCAATGCATTTTTCTCACTATAAGCATTCTTCCCAGTCAAATAAAAATCCGTACGAGTCCCACCCTTTGATCTTAATGAAAGTATACAAGTCACACCCCTTGATCTTAATTAAACATACAAGTCCCGCCCCTTATCTTAATTTAACAAACTACTAGCCCCGCCCCTTGATCTTAGTGAAACTATACAAGTCCCACCCCTTGATCTTAATTAAACATACAAGTCCCGCCCCTTATCTTAATTAAACAAACTACTAGCCCCGCCCCTTGATCTTAGTGAAACTATACAAGTCCCACCCCTTGATCTTAATTTAAAATACAAGTCCCGCCCCTTATCTTAAATAAACAACTTACAAGCCCCCACCCCTTGATCTTAAATTTTTTTTTTAAACGTACAAGTTCTCACCCTTGATCTAATTTTGTTTTCACCGATTATTCTGCTCCGTAACATTGATCAATCACGCATTAATAATCGGTAATATTTCTTTCACATTAACTTATAACATGTGTTTGTTGTAGCTCATCAATGTCACTCTTAGATCCTGAATCGTTTTATATAGTCACGAAAAACAAGTAACTATTTTATTATGTATCTTAACAAAATGCGCATTTACGTGACGTCATCGCCCACTCCACAGCTTTTTCACGCAATTAATTTACTTCATTATAAGTCTACCTGTTGCCTGTTAGGCTTAGACGTTAGAACATTGACAGAAAGTTTTAAAAGAAAGAGGGGAGAAAAATCACGTACGTGACGCTTCATCACGTGTACCTACATCCTTATCGTTGTTTTGTTTTGTTGTTTTTTTTAATAAATATTTTCTTTAGCATTGATATCGTAGAGGTTAGTTGGTCGTCAGTTTCCTCAACTTTCCATTAACTTCCTCGTACTTATTATATAACGTATCATTCTTATACCTTGACGAATACATTTTCCAGATGAAGCAGATGGTCGTTAAGTGGGCCACACAGCTGGGCCACAAGGCCTACTACGAAGCCCATGGGTGCGTCGACCCCAGCACAACACTTCACGGTCGTCATGGACAGATGGCTTCCATGGGTGAGAGACAACAATCATTTTCACGTTAATTAATGCTATAAGATAAGAAAGAAAAAAAACAAAACAAAAAAAATTAAAACAAAACAGTGGCGTACTAGGGTTAGTGCCACCCGGGAGGTGGCAATTATTTTTTTTTTTTACATCTACGAAAAAAAAAAAAAATATCCGTTGGCAGAAAATAACACCACTCAAAATAAAAAAAAAAAAAAAAAAAAAAAATAAAAAAAAAACAGTGGCGTACTAGGGTTAGGGCCACCCGGGAGGTGGCAATTATTTTTTTTTTTTACATCTACGAAAAAAAAAAAAATATCCGTTGGCAGAAAATAACACCACTCAAAATAAAGAAAAAAAGTGTCGCCCCATGTCACTAATCACCAGTTCCCTGTTGTTTCCTTCTAATCAGGCTGGCGCCTCTTGGACCTCCTATTTCTAATTTTTCCCACAACAGCTCACCACACGATCGTCACCATTGTGGTGAAAGATGCCACGCCAACATACACGAACACCTTCACAAGCCCTAGTCCCCGCTCAGCCCAAAGGCGATAATGCCAACCCCATTTGGTTAATTTATTTTGCTCCCGTTTCAGCCATGATGGGGGTGTTGTCCCATCCCCCAATAGATTTATCTATGTTGCTCCCGTTTCAGCCATGATGGGGGTGTTGTCCCATCCCCAAATAGATTTATCTATGTTGCTCCCGTTTCAACCATGATGGGGGTGTTGTCCCACCTCCCAATAGATTTATCTATGTTGCTCCCGTTTCAGCCATGATGGGGGTGTTGTCCCATCCCCCAATAGATTTATCTCTGTTGCTCCCGTTTCAGCCATGATGTGGGTGTTGTCCCATCCCCCAATAGATTTATCTATGTTGCTTATATTTCAGCCATGATGGGGGTGTTGTCCCATCCCCCAATAGGTTTATCTATGTTGCTCCCGTTTCAGCCATGTTGGGGTTGTTGTCCCATCCCCCAACTCCCGTTTCAGCCATGATGGGGGTGTTGTCCCATCCCCCAATAGATTTATCTCTGTTGCTCCCGTTTCAGCCATGATGTGGGTGTTGTCCCATCCCCCAATAGATTTATCTATGTTGCTCATTTTTCAGCCATGATGGGGGTGTTGTCCCATCCCCCAATAGATTTATCTCTGTTGCTCCCGTTTCAGCCATGATGAGGGTGTTGTCCCATCCCCCAATAGATTTATCTATGTTGCTTCCGTTTCAGCCATGATGGGGGTGTTGTCCCATCCCCCAATAGGTTTATCTATGTTGCTCCCGTTTCAGCCATGATGGGGGTGTTGTCCCATCCCCCAATAGATTTATCTATGTTGCTCCCGTTTCAGCCATGATGGGGGTGTTGTCCCATCCCCCAATAGATTTATCTATGTTGCTCCGTTTCAGCCATGATGGGGGTGTTGTTCCATCCCCCAATAGATTTATCTATGTTGCTCCCGTTTCAGCTATGATGGGGGTGTTGTCCCATCTCCCAATAGGTTTATCTATGCTGCTCATGTTTCAGCCATGATGTTGTTGTTGTTCCATCCCCCAATAGGTTTATCGATGTTGCTTATATTTCAGCCATGATGTGGGGATGTGCCAGTCCCCAGGCGGGAGAAGTTTGTGATCTGGCCCAAATGGTCCACGGTGGAGCCCAGGGTGCCAACATGAGACTAATGATGGAGTATATGATGCCCAAACAAACCAAGGTAATGGTCGGTTGCATGGGTTGCTGAGCTTGGGTTGCTGGGCTTGGGCTGGAGGGCATGGGTTACTGGGTTTGGGCTGGGGGTCATGTGTTGCTGGGTTTGGGCTGGAGGGCATGAGTTGATGGGCTTGGCGTGTAGGGCATGGGTTGCTGGGCTTGGGTTGTAGGACATGGGTTGCTGGGTTTGGGCTGGAGGGCATGGGTTGCTTGGCTTGGGCTGGAAGGTATGGGTTGCTGGGTTTGGGCTGGAGGGAATGGGTTTCTGGGTTTGGGATGCAGCGCATGGGTTGCTGGGCTTGGGCTGGAGGGCAAGGGCTGGAGGGCATGGGTTGCTGGATTAGGGCTGTAGGGCATGGGTTGCTGGGCTTGGGGTGGAGGGCATGGTCTGGAGGGAATGGGTTGCTGGGTNTTGGGTTGGTGGGCATGTCATGGAGTGCTTAAGCTTGTGGGCATGGTATGGATGGCACAGAGAGTTAAGCATGTGAATTTTCGCCTGGACATGGGCAGTCGGGAATGGGAAAACTGGCATGGCCAGGTGGGCTTGATTGGTAGTGTGAACATGATGCGTTAACATGGTCTAAATAAGAAAGAGCATGTTGTTGATTCAGCGTATCATTGTGATCTCAATCGTTTTTTTTTTAATGTTCAAAATGTAGAAATTCTAGTAACATTTAGAGATATGTTACAATACTTATTAGTCATCATGCTCGCAGATGTGATAGTATTTTCTACACCCCTCTCGTGGATAGCCACGTAATGGTTTCTGATGATCACTCTCTCCCTAATTACTTATATGATATTATCAAGCTAACTTATGACAGTGTATTGTTCAAAACAAGCAGACCTGCAATAACTCTATCAAGAGTCACAACCCTGGATGCAGAGAGCCAATTAATATGGCCCGTTGAGTCGTAAATGACCTAAAACAAAAAAAAAATTGGGCATTACCTTAGAATTTAAAAAAAAAAGTCAATGAAGGGAGATAATATTTGACATGACTAAAGCATACTAATTACCGGACCCTCCCACATCACTAATGCGTCATCATCTCCCCCCCCCCCCCTCCCCTAGAACATGCTGGAGCAGTGTCTCACGCCGTCCGCCGTAATGAAAGGCTTCATGGGAAGCATGGCGCCCCAACCACAACCAAAACAAGAAGGACCACGTAAGTTTTAAACAATAACAACCCCACCCATCCCCCACCTACACACACATACACTTTTTTTTCTCCCAATTTTTGTTATATTTTCAAAGGTGTCCGCGCTATTGAACTACACTTAATTTGTTAGGTTGAACAAACATACAATGTCAATTCCTGCCAAAGCTACTGTCCTCTTTTTTTATATTTTTTAAAATATGTTTTTTTTTAAACAAACTATGTTTTTCCAACAGTATTTATGTGAATTATTTGGTTTGGTTTAGCCCCACCGATCGGAGCAGAAGGCGCGCCACCTTCAGGTCAAAGTGCCCCAGTCGATTGTTCCAGCATCTCACAGATGCTCATGATGAGTCCGTCTGCGGCTGAGGGGGTCATGAGCCCAGAAAACATGGAGCAGATAGCGACCATGAGAAACAGGTCAGCGACGTTAAACGTTGGGGACTGTGTGTCTTACGGGGATTGTGTGTCTTAATACTCCTGGACACAACAGGGGTACCGGTGTGTGTGTCTGGACACAACAGTTGTCAGGTACCGATGTGTGTCTGGACACAATAGTTGTCAGTTACCGGTGTGTGTCTGGACACAATAGTTGTCAGGTACCGGTGTGTGTCTGGACACAACAGTTGTCAGGTACCAGTGTGTGTCTGGACACAACAGTTGTCAGGTAACGGTATGCGTCTTGATACAGCATGAGTTGTCAGGTACTGGTATGTCTGGACACAAAAGTTGTCGGTCAGGTATGTTTCTGGACACAACAATGGTCAGGTATGTTTCTGGACACAACAATGGTCAGGTATGTTTCTGGACACAACAATTGTCAGGTATGTTTCTGGACACAACAATTGTCAGGTATGTTTCTGGACACAACAATTGTCAGGTATGTTTCTGGACACAACAATGGTCAGGTTTGTTTCTGGACACAATAATTGTCATGTATGTTTCTGGACACAACAATTGTCAGGTATGTTTCTGGACACAACAATGGTCAGGTATGTTTCTGGACACAATAATTGTCAGGTATGTTTCTGGACACAACAATGGTCAGGTATGTTTCTGGACACAATAATTGTCAGGTATGTTTCTGGACACAACAATTGTCAGGTATGTTTCTGGACACAACAATTGTCAGGTATGTTTCTGGACACAATAATTGTCAGGTATGTTTCTGGACACAATAATTGTCAGGTATGTTTCTGGACACAACAATTGTCAGGTATGTTTCTGGACACAACAATGGTCAGGTATGTTTCTGGACACAATAATTGTCAGGTATGTTTCTGGACACAACAATGGTCAGGTATGTTTCTGGACACAATAATTGTCAGGTATGTTTCTGGACACAACAATTGTCAGGTATGTTTCTGGACACAATAATTGTCAGGTATGTTTCTGGACACAATAATTGTCAGGTATGTTTCTGGACACAACAATGGTCAGGTATGTTTCTGGACACAATAATTGTCAGGTATGTTTCTGGACACAACAATGGTAAGGTATGTTTCTGGACACAACAATGGTCAGGTATGTGTCCGGACACAACAGTTGTCAGATATGTATGTGAGGTTTGTTCATATTCACTTTATTAAGTAACATAAGTCGATGACACAAATTAAGACTACAACCCATTAGGTGGATCACATGACCACAAAGTAACAAAATGCTTCAGATGACCCACACAATGGAAAGCAAATCTAAAAACTCAATCTGATTTCAAAACAGGTCATCATGGGGGCCAGGTGCATGTTAGTAAGTGGAGGTGCCAGTCTAATGAGGATCGGAACGTTTCAAGGAGAAACTTTCCAAACTTTAATCCATTTGTGACCTTATTTTTAAAACCTTTATATTAACTTCGCTTTTGTTTGCGCCTGGCTGACAAAAACCTTCATGCGGCTAATTGACCCAATTCCCGTCGACCCATCAAGCTGAAACTTGGCACTTAAACTCGTTGACGATGACAATACATTCAAATTTTCAGCCCAAACCCCCAAAAATCAGTTTTTCCTGTTTTCCACTGAAATTCCCGAAAGCTGCGCTAAATTAGATTCTTTAAAAAAATATGGCAAGTGCGTTTGGTGCCTAATATTTCTTTTTTCTTAAGTTGATTATGAAATAAATATGTGGGTTGAAAAGTGGGTAGTTCATTAGAATATTAATTTAGTTCAGTGGCTTGAAAAAATGTGTGGTTGCGAGTGGCGAGCACAAATTAGGTTTCTTAAAAAGAGTGTTACTTGTCAAATTTTCAACCCCCCCCCCCCACCCCCACAACCAAAAAAAGTAAAATAAACATCAAAGGACTTATAAGAAAAACTTTGTCTTTAGGGGGTGTTTAATTCTATTTTGAGTTTTTTTTTTATTTTGTGCGTTGCTGAAATCAATGTTATTGCTCAGAAATCTCATGACAAAATTTTGAAAAAATAAGCTCTACAACACTTTCTTCATTTACTAACGTTATTTTCTTCAACAGATACCTGAAAATGAGTTGCCAGGAAAACATGTTAATGGGAACATTGCCTTACAGAATGTGCTGTCCAGGATATGGTAAGTTACAGGACAGCAGAACATTACAATCAGTGGTTTCTGGGTGAGAAGTGTCTCATAGTTAACTGACAAGCTTCAGATATACATAAATTTATTCTAGACGTACGGTACAGGGCCCTTCAATGGATAAGTAGATTTTTCTTGCTCAAGTTTTTCGGTCCCTATACATAAATACATTAAATTACCGACATTCTAAAGTGGCTGTTTGTAGCCCAACTTAATTTAGGGTGGGGTGCTAATGTGATGCGAATTGGTAGTTAGTAAACATTTCCAAAGATGTAGGTGATTTAATTAGCATCCAGCTTTGATTTCACACACAACGGGGCCCCAGGGTATCAGTGGTCAGCTGCATCGTTGATATAAAATTGTAGAATGACAAGATTATATAAGGTGGTACACATTTCACCATATGCCTCTGAATGATATTTCTTCAACGTTTCCACAGTGAGACCACCTACAATGGAAGAGGCCATGATGGCAAGAGGGATGGCAGTTGCAGCATAACCTAAGACACTTTATCGTTCAAACTAACCGGTACACGTTGTTTTGCAAAGTAAACAAACGTGCTGGTACATGTTTGCAAAGTGACCAAACCTACCAGTACATGTTGTTTGCAAAGTGACATCTTTTGAGACAAGGCAATATAATAAAGAGGATTCTGTTTTCCTTTCAAATTTTTATAAAATTGTATGTACTGCAACTGAAATGCACTAAAGCATTTGTAAAAATCAGACATGTCTTTTTTGTGTGAACAAAATGAAATAATATATTATTATTTATTGTAAAAAAAAAATCCTTGTGTCTTCATATTTGTATGCTGCCAATAAATAGTTAATTTTAACATTTTGTTTACAAAAAAAAAAAAAGTTTGCGCCTAATGAAAAATACAGATTATTTTCTCATGACTCCAAAATTTTAACACAGCAAGAGAATTGTTTTATTTAAAATAAATCCAAGCCAAAAACAAATTTATACAAGGTTATTTTAAAAAAAATAAAAGGTGGTATAAAGGGAACTTTATTTTAAATTAGAAGGTCCCTCTGACCCCTCAAACTGTAAAGTCACTCTGACCCCTCAAACTATGAGGTTACTGTGACTGTTAATATATAACTTTGTTTTGTTAGGGAAAAATAAATATTTCTTTTGGTTCAATTAAATCTAACGACTCACATTAACTAAATATTTAGATAATAAGACTATTCTTTGAGCATAGTACTAGTTAGTTCATTTACATAAGAATTTTATCTAAAAAAAATATTGGTATTGAGAATATCGCACAGATATCTAGTAAAAGTAACAAGACTTTTTCTTAAAAAGAACTTTTTATTTTACTTACTTTATATGACAAACAAGAAATCTTGCTCTATCACGGTGTGTAGTTACTTAACATGTTATAAACACTACACAATTCAAAACAAACAACAAAAACAACTGTAATTAAATAAGCTTCACATAGAAATGATATTTGCAATCTACAATCAAGAGCCACACTTCAGCATTGTTTAACAATATTTCATTCTGTAACCACTATTATCTTCAATGGAAATTTAGTTTGTTTTTCAAAAATTATTTGCTTTTCATCAGAAAAAAAAATATGTAACACATTTCAAACATGACATGCACTCAAGTGTGATACATATGTTTATTGCTACAAAGATATCCACATTTTTTTGTTAATCAGGAATATAAAAAGCGCTACATTTTTTTTCCCCCTTACAATATCACATTAACTATTAACAATAATTTAAAAAACATCAATTTCCTACCATTTTTGTGAGTTCTACAGCCCTTGATTAAGAATGCAGCAAAAAAAATGATCAGGCAATTTTCAAATATTAACACAACAACTGAAGTTGAAAAAGCTGCATCAGAAACCAACTAGTATAAGTCTTCGACAGTCAGACTTTTAACATAGTTAATTTAAAAAGGAGCTTGCTTTCTTGAGATTCACAAAACCCTTCAACTTCATACATTGCAAGTTCATGCTTGACCTGATTTAACACAACTTATGGAACGAAACCGCCATTCATCATCAACATTTGGCATGAGTATATCCCAGTGCAGACTACTGAAATCACTTTCCCGCCTGGCCACATTTACAAGACAGATGGCTTGATGCCAAATACGAAAAACGTAGATACGACAGCTGTGAGGGCCATGACAAAGTATGCAGACTTGTAGAGTGTCTTCAGGCCGAAGCCCAGACCGGCATCCCAAGCCTGTTGAGATTAAAACAACTATCATTAGCTTCACATGGACTAAGTTTTTGTTAAACTTTTAAAATTGTCTACTTTTTTAGTATGATAAAAATTTTTATCTGTAAATTTTGCACAAAAGAAGAAGTTTAATAACAACGAATGCTTACAAAATCCCAGGCATGGGGACTTAGCTCTATATCCAGGGATAAAACTAATCACCTTTCCTTATATCCCCATCAATCAACACCCCAATTCCCCTTTCCCTCGACCCAGCATACTGGTGCTGTAACTCTGTGTCATCAACTATGACGACCTTTCAGGGAAGCATGAAGAAGGCTCAACCGACTAAACAAAAGTTTCAAGTGTATCCACAAAAAAATGTGCGATCCACAAAATGCAAATCTATTTCAGATTAGGGGGAAAAAATGTAAAATTAAACTTACAACAACAAAAAATCAACTTACCAAATGCCTGATCCCATTGAGGAAATGATATGTCACTGGGAAGGCAAAGATATACTTGAGACCATATATGATGGCAGGACCAAGGCTTAGGTTACGGATGTATTCAAGGTTGGTTTTGTAGTCTCCAGGCAGACAAAGCAGTAAGATAGAGGTGCCACAGATAACTGAAAATATTTATTATATTAAGTTAACCAAAAGAACTGAATTTTAAGTAATACAGGAAAAAGAGATCTACACTGAGTTTTATTAATGACGAAAGATCTTTGGTGAGCACACTGAAAAAAAAAACAATGCCACAAAACTTTGATGCTCAGAATCAAATCTTTTGGACTTGATCTCAGTTGTTATTTTCAAAAATTGTATGACAGTTAGTATGTCATAAGTTTTCTCAGTTAGTTTTAATATCCAGAAAGCCTTTAATGTCGACTTTCATCCCCATACATCCCAGTTAAATATTATTTAAGGTAATTACAGTGCAAACAATTTTGTGTTCATAACGGAGTCATAGTTTGAAGAAATACAATGTTATCAGATATCACACAAGATACGCTGAAGTACCTGGATTTGACAAACACATAACTGAAATTGATGTAAACACTATTACTAAGCAAGATCTTTGTCTCTGCCCAAACTTAGATTGAACTGACTTACCAACTTGCATAACCACACCAGTAACTCTGTGGGTCAGTGAGGTCATCATGGCAAGATGGGGCCTGTATGAAGAAAGGTATATCAAAATGGAGATAGATCACATGAGTTTCTGAGACTAGAGAGTATTTAATTATTTACTAAAAAGTACAGCAAATAAAATTAAGCTTAAGGTAATTAAACCTAAACTAAGCAGATCCGCTCCTATATTATCAAGTATAAGTGCAACTAAATTGGAGCTTGCAAATCAACAACACTAAATCTTGTAATAAAAATAACTTTAATATTTAGTTTAATTTTTATTTTGCCACCCGATAACTTACTTGTAGACTGTAAGAAAAGGTGACAGTGGGCGATTCAGCTTTCTGTTTCTAGCCCAATAAGTTCCCATTTCTTCATATGCACTGGTTGTTTTGTTGGACCTAAAGACAACAACATTGGAACAAACAAATACATTATAGAATTCTTTATTTTTACTAAATAGTTTTACATTTATGTATCAACAAACGATTTTAAGGACTAAATGTAAAACACTATTTATATTCTGAAAATGCTGGTCATAGAATGACTCACCTCCGCAATGCAGTTAAAGATGTCTGTCTCAATATGCATTGTGAGCGTGCAAGAGATCTGAAGAAAAACAAAGATAAATATAAACATACTATTCAATGTATAGACTGATTGTTACAGTCACTTGGCCCAAAAGATTATCCAGCTATTATGGTTGGTCTAGATAGTGGAGTTCTGAGAAATTTGATGGACTTTGCCAAGCAAAAATAGACGTTTCTGTTGGATTTTTAAAAATGCTTTTTTGTAACTGTGGTGATTTTATTGACATCTTTTTTTTTTTATGTTGGGATAATCTGAATATGTAAAAATTACAAGGGACTAAGAAAAATAAAATGGAAAGAATGAAAATAAGCTGTCTCTGTACAATTATTACAGCAACAGTTAACAGGTGAACAAAGAAATACAGTTACATTGTACTGTGGAAATTTGACCGTCTTGAAATTTACGATTTAAAGAATTACCTGCAAATAAGAGGGTTTATTCTCAACATGCTGCACTGTAACATTGTTAAGGGAGATTTAAAATTTTGTTATAGTTTTTTTGTTTTATTGTTTCAGAAGGGGAAAGTCGTTCCCCCCACCCCCCCAACACACACATTTCCCGATTTCTTTTTGGTATTATGTCACTTATGTAAATTGGTATTATGTCACTTATGTAAGCCTAACTTGTTTTGGTAAATTTGGAGAGATAGCACCGTGGCCGCCATCTTAGTTGCCGTGACCCGCACATTATGTGCTAAATGTATCCCTAAACCTAACATGAACCCTAAATACTTCCCTAAACCTAACCTGAATTCTAAACTTATCCCTAAACTGGGTTTTTACCCTATTGGAACCAGGGATAAAACACGCACATGACGCCAGGGTGCTATCTCTCCAAATTAGCCCTTTCTCATAGTTGAAGTTGTGTAAATGTAATTTTTACGCATAGCAGAAGTCGTCGTAGATGTAGTAGTAGTCATACTCGGAAATCCGATTGCAATTTGAATTGAATATACACTTACATTAAACTATTTAAATTTGGTTAACTTAATAACTTGGGCACTGAACCGATTACCAGCTACTACACTAAAAATGTCAAAGTTGTTATATATTAATGAAACTTATATCACTAGAAAGGACTCAGTATTTCCTTTCCATTAATACCTATTTTATCTCTCTATCTTAATTAGAACAAAAGTTATCACATTTTTAGTGTCATAATTTTTCCTTATATAGCCTTAGTAAATATTTTCCAAAATTCTGTGACCAAAAAAAGACATCTTTGACACTCAAAATGCGATAACTTTTTATTCAGCAAAGTTAAAGCTTTCAAATTTGCAACGCATTTCAATTTGCAACGCATTTCAATTAAGTTTTTGTCTTTAATAATAAATCATTGTGATGCAAATACTACAATAAACATATTAATGTGTGCGATTTGACGAACAGAGGGTACGTAAATTTCATTAAACGTAGCGCTTGCTCTCAATACTCAAAATGCCATAACTTTTTTATCTGTAAAAGTAAAGTTAAAGCCTTCATAATTTCAACACAGTTTAATTAGGTATTGGGCTTTTATAACAAGCCATTTCCATATTAATATTTTGACTAATGTATTAATGCGCGGGATTTGACAGAGGTTATTTAAATTTCATTTAAAAACATAGCGCCTGTTCTCAATACTCAAAATGCCATAACTATTTTCCCTGTAAAGTTAAAGCCTTCAAATTGTCAGCATAACTTACGTAGGTATTGGGCTTGTATAATAAGCCATTTTCATATTAATATTTTGACTAATGTATTAATGTGGATCACTGATACTGGTTAGAATTTTAAGTTTAAAAGTTCAGACCTGATTAACTGATTAATTATAATTATAATTAATTAATAAAACTATGAGCTTATACATTTTAATTTTTAAAGTGAAACTAACTTATTCAAGAAGCTCTCACTTTCATTTAGGCCTATACTATACAATGTTAAAGGTTACAAAATTTCTACAGGCTAATGTTAATAATACATAACAATTAATAATATAGAGATTGATCTTTTGATAGTACAATGTCAAGGTCACGAGTGAGGAGAAAATAAAAATAGTTAAAACTTTAAACAAGGTCAAGCAAAATCCCCTTTTTCAAACACTAGAGATATCAATTTTTATGCGTTGATATTTATTAGCTTGGGCTACAACATTGAAGAATAATGAAATCCGAGGGCTTTTGAGTTTCAGAGTAGGCGTAGGATTGAAACTTCATTTTGCCAAATTATGCGATTTTTTTTGCTACGCCAGCAGCAAAGAATAGCAACACCACCAGAAAAGGCAAGCTGCATTTTTAACATATTAAGAGAGCGCAATAAAATCTCAAAATAAATACTCCAGAATTAAGTAAAATATAAGAAAGGAGAAAATGACGTGTATGTTTCTTGTAATTATATAAATTCCCAGAGCTGATATCATTTACCTTAATAACAGCGCCATGTTGACGATTCTTTTTAATATACTTCGAAAACTTCAATGATTGAAGAGGTCTTTTATGTTTCACCTCTATTATTTTAACAAGTGGTTATTCTGACACGGGTCCCAGAAGTGAGAGGTTGGGATTTTTAAAAAAAAAATATTAAAACTATTATTGCGCGGGGTTGAAGGAAAATGTTTGGTACCAAATGAAAGATAACTAAATGGACTATATGTTTGTAAACTTACTTCTTCAGTTTAACTAAAATAAATTATAGAATTACTTAGGGGGTCATTGAAAGTTTGACAGTTGTAAAACAATGCGTACCAATTTTTGACGTAATTAATGGACACCCCCTAATTGAAATTTTTGGCGGTGTTAAGGGCCCAAATAGACATAAATGATTTATTTGAATAGCGAATACCTTTTTACGGAAAAAAAATTATTACTATTCACCCCGCCCACCCCCCCACCCCCACTGCATCTGGACAGTGTAATAGAGATGCGCATCCACATTATTTTAGTAGTGGCTCGGTTGCTTACGTATCCACACGTTTTGTCTTGTAGGCATATTTATATAGGCCTACGTCATTTTGACATTGTCGCCTATTTTACATTATGATCAGGGGCATCACTGGAGCTGGTGTAAAAAATGTGCGTTAAATATAGTGCACCTTCCTATAATATGGTTTCACAATGAGCATCAAATAGCGCTTGTGGCCATGATATTTTAGCATGCCCACAGCGCTCTGATTTTCTAAAATCTAGTTAAAGAAAAATGTCTTTAAGTGTTTCTTAAATGACTTTTTATCATTTTCAATTTCCCCCAAAGATTGAGGCAAACTGTTCCACAATTTTGGCGCAATGGCTTCAAAAAAGATCTGCCTGCTCTGGTGACACCTTGCACTGGTGGCAACCTGCTCTGGTGACACCTTGCACTGGTGGCAACCTGCTCTGTTGACACCTAGCTCAGAGGGCTCACTGTGCCGTGGAATCTTTTATTTTTTTTTTAATCATCTTGTGGCACCCTGCTATCAGAGTTCTAGCGGCACCCTGTTTTGTATTAAACCAATATCGGTTATGAAACTCACTTGATCGAGCTCTGTCTAATTAACTATTTTCCATTTGGTGTCACCCCCCCCCCCTGCACTCTCGCACGCCCTTATTGGCCCTGTGGTCAAAGGCCAAGGGTTGCACGGGCTGTCAAAATTGCCCAAGAGTAGGCAATCACCTGTTTCTACCTTTTGTAAAAAGGATTTAACAAACTAAGGAACATAAAATTGTAGAGGAAATCAATTATTGGACGGCTGCAGACAGTATTCAAACTACTTTTTCAAACTTTGATGATTATTGTATCAAAAAACGAAACATTTCTCCAAAATTTGAAGTGAAAAGTTTCCCCCCAAATACTTTTGTCTCGAAATATTGATTTCATAGAAACATGTTTTTTAAAGTATTTATTTTATCGGATTTATTTTTATACATTTTATATTTATAAGTGCATTCTTAGTAATTAAAAGATTCAACAACCATTGTGAATTATTTACCATTTAACTTCCTTTCAAATCGGAGGTAACGTCGACCGCAAACAAATATATTTTGGGATAATGGCTACTATTAAAATTCCCCGACCCCTGCCCTAATAGTTTGCGTATGGTTAGTCCTGGGGAAGATTGGAAGCTGCTTAGCTTTTAAGAGTATGGCATCAATTTTACTCAATTTTTTTACATTAAAAATGACAATTATACTTTTTATTTAGTTTTTGTATAAATTTTTTAAAGAATTTTGGAGCACCGAGCAGAAAGAAATCTTACCTACTCCAGAGCTTAGCTTTAAATCCCAGGGTAATATGTCAAATTGGTATTGAAGGTCTATCTTTAGACCTGGCGGTAAAAACAGCTTATTTGGTCCTAAAAATACCCTTGGGGGAAAAAATTGGTTTATTTATCATTTATAATTCTAAATGAATGATATTACAATACCTTACTGCATGAAAAGTTATGGAAGCGGTGTACTGTTGCAAGATCCATCTCATTATTTTTATATGCCCACTCGGCATTGTTGACATGTTAATCCCAGCTATTATGAAATACTTCTACACCCATATTTGGTAAAGGAAAAGACTATTAAAAAAACAAAACCTAAAAAAAAAAAAAACGACAAGTAATCAAACATCAACAACTCAAATTAAGAAATTTAGTTTTGCTTAGTTTAATTTCTTCATGTTTAACAACAACATTCCGAGTTGCAAGGAAAAAATTAACTAAATTTTTGGTCTGAAGAATGATTTATATTGCTTCATCTTGACCTTTAAAGTTATGTCCAGTATCACAATAAAACAAATCAAATAGGACATGGTCGGCAGGGAGAGTTGTTTCTCAATTAAAAATTTAATTTAAAAAAAAATAATCATTGACAAGAAAATGTTTACTTGGAATTCCACTTAATCCTATTTGTATGTACACATTAAAACTACTTAATAAACTTCAACACACCCTTCTATTACTTTTTAAATTTTTGTAGCAGGGTACAATCAATCTAAAATTATATGGATTGTATTATATAGTTCATCTTGGTTTTAATTAACCTATAATTTATAGGTGAAATGCTTAAGTAACCATCCCCTCCCCCTCTCTTTTTAAAAATAATATGCCTTACATACACACATGTTGAAATCTAGGGACTTACTATGAAAGTTTCATTACAAACTTGCTTGTTGCCATACCTCGAACACCGTACATTACAGGACCGCATCAAATGGTACACGTTTTAAAAATGTATCTATAGACACAGCTCACTCCAGTGACATCGAAATCCACTTTATATATTTATCTTAATAAATTCATATGGGTAAGCTAAAAATAACAAGTGAATTTGCAGTTTGAACAGTCAGTGGGGGGTTATAAATATTACACTACAGAGTGAATAGAAAATACAGCTTAACAACAACAAATTAAAGGTACTTAGATTGACACATAGGTGGAAAGACAAATATTAGAGAAAATATAGGCGATTCCAACTTTCAAACAGTGAAGTCCTTTATATAAAAATACATCATTTAAAAACAAATTTCTTTAAAAAGATGTCAGAATTAGACATGTTTATTCATGTTAATTCTTTCAAAGTGGCATCAAATTTTTTTTTTTTTTGTAGATTAAAATTCTGATTCAGTTAAAGATTGTGCATGCGTAGGGATTTGTGATAAGTATGTTACCAGTGGCATCGTTGTTGTGAAACAGCTGTCACATAGAGCGACCATTGCTAGAATGTATCTCACCCTGAGAAACATGGCTTTGGACATTTCGGAAGGGAAAAAAAAAATGATTTTCAAAAGAAACCATTTCTTGGTAACCTGTCAGGACGGGGATTGATATGTGACTGCGGGATTAACTGAACATTAACTGGATATTTTTTTTTTTTAAAGTAAGATTATTGAACTCTAAATATAATTTCTGTATTTAATCATCTGCTTGTGTTAAAAAGCCATTGCATATGAACCATAATGCACTTTCCAGGAATAATGAACCATCTTGCAAGCTCTCTGGCCTCTTACCTGAGTATGGTAATTATACACCAAAAAAGGCATAAATGATTTTTGTTAAGTGCATAAATCATTTTATTTATTTTTTTTTTTTTAATGTTTAAAAAAAATTGTGATAGTTAAAAAAAATATACTTTTACCCTCTCATTTAAAATAGTTTTAATTTTAAGCACATACATTTTAAGTGTAAGAGAAAGATAAAAACAAATTCTGTTAAGGACATGCCTCTTAAGACCAGTGTTGAGGTGTACAGTGTCATGAAAGGCAACAAGCTGGGAAATTTATCTTTTAAAAAAAAACACCTCCATAGCATGCTCCCCCCCCCCCCCCCCAATCTTCCACTGAAACCAATTTCATTAACAAATCTATACATATATATCCATGGTGATTAGGCATTGCTTCAGCTAAACAAGTTTCAGAGGTACACTAATTAAGTGATATTTTAAGTTATCTGGATCAGAGGCTTGAGAATTAAAAATGAGCAAAGTGCTCCCCTTTACATCCCTGGACAGTGTGGTGCAGCCCCCATATGTGGAAATCAGACATATACAGTATTAACACGGTGACTCTTTGAAGTTGATACAATTAAAATTTTTAGGCGTCTTCCATTCTTTAACTTTTTTGTTGGGGGGGGGGGGGGTTGTTTACATACAATTGTTAACATATTAGACATAATACACTAATATATTTCATTAAAATATCAATTTTCTAATTGATGTAGAATACAGTAAATGATACATATAATAAATTTTACAATTACAAAGTCTTATCATGTGTATAAATATATATAGTTACAAACTTTCCTAGTGCACTGAGGGCTACAAAACATGGTGATACGCTAAGATGATTGACATCACTGAACTTGGCAATAGATTTTATTGGAGATTGGAGGGTGTGGGAACCAATGTATCTTTAAAATAAACCAATAATTTTGGCAGTGGATATATTTAAAAATAAAACTTCTTTTCAAACTTTGAACAATATTCAATCTCTTCAAGAGTTGTATTTGAGTTTATTCCAGCCATTACCTTGACATTTCTTCCCCTCTCTCTCTATGTCTGGTGGAACTCTCAACAGAAAACAATGGCCCAATTTTCCATTTAATTTATATGCACTGGAAAAATTGCAATTTAGTTACCAGGTAAACATCCTCTCTGAGAAGAAATGTGCACAAAAACAAGCATTTGATTTACTTTTAATCCATATGGCAACATGAGTTACATATTTATATTTTGAACAATAATTGTACAATGAATGCAGAGTTGGTGCAGATTTTTTAAAGATGAAATTGAATAAGGGGGTTGGGATCTTAACACACAAAAAAGGGGGTAAAAAAATATAAGGTGATGCTGATGATTAGGATTTTCAAAAAAATTTGTTAAATAAATAAAAATAACCAACAAACATTTGTAATCACAAATTAAGGTAGTGAAAAACTTAATTAACTTAACAAAATTCAGAAAGATATGGGGAAAAACAAGCAGTGGACTATTTCCCCATCAATTTTGGGTAATCAACATAATTGTAAATCTTTTGGCTTTATTTGAGAGATCACTTATTTTGAAACAAATTTGAGATTTAACATGGAGGGTTTTGTTTTAAATAGTTTTTTTTTTTTGTTCTGCTTGTTTCACCTGTTTAAAGCCAGCGGGGTCAAGAGCATCTTGGAATAAAGTGAGCTAGAAAAGGCTGAAAAGAAATGATCCACATATGATATAATGTGGCTGGTGGTAAAGGGAGAAAAAGTGAAGGGGAATAAGAAGGGAAGGGGAATAAGAAGGGAAGGGGAATAAGAAGGGAAGGGGAATAAGAAGGGAAGGGGGAGCACTACATTAAAACCATGGACACATTTGAAAACAACTTGGAAAATCTGGCTACATAAGTGCATTCTACATTTTGATACTGTATAATTAATAGATTTAAAAAGTTATTGACTATCACAAAAATCCTACTTTAGAACCAAAGTGATAACTTACCTCACTATGATAAAAGAAATGTAAGCAAGTTATTGTAAAAAAAAAAGAAAAATTCCTTTGTTAAATTATACTTATGCCATGAATTTTAAAAAAAAATCAATTGCAATGAATTAGATGAAATTTATAAAAAAGTTTAGCCTTAAAATAACTTTGCTATATAATTAATAGATTTAAAAAGTTATTGACTATCAAAAAAATCCTACTTTAGAACCAAAGTGATAACTTACCTCACTATGATAAAAGAAATGTAAGCAAGTTATTGTAAAAAAAAAAAAAAAAAAAATTCCTTTGTTAAATTATACTTATGCCATGAATTTTAAAAAAAAATCAATTGCAATGAATTAGATGAAATTTATAAAAAAGTTTAGCCTTAAAATAACTTTGCTTGAAAATAACAAATATTTAAATTTAATCACAATGTGACCTGCATACCCAATATAAACAGGGGAAGTATTGCAAAGTTGATTCTTCACCATTTTCATTTATATCCTCTTTTTATCTGACGATACAATAAAATCAAAAGGCTTATATAGTACCTTGAGTCTAATAAAGATCCTCCAAGCACTGGTAACAACCAAAACATATGCATATAATATAGCTATTACTATTCTATTTACAAACACAAATATATTTCACTGCAGTATCATATATATTTAATTAAATATATACTATATATATATATATATAGCCTCTGGGTTTATCACAATGTAGTTTGATTGACTTAAAAAGAAACAATATTTTAAAAGAAAAAAAAAATGTTATAGGATAGTTTTTATTTTTTTTATTACTGGTATTAAAGGAGGATATCCAGAAAAAAAGAAAGGGATTGAAATATTTAAAGTGGAGAGGTGAAATTTTGGGTTTCAAAATATTATCAAACTCTATTGATTTTAGTGATACATTAATAGCTCCCTAAACACAAGGGTGGTACTCAAATTACAGTTCCAAGAAATAACATTTCTTTGAATGAGGTCAAAAGGCATTAATTTTGTTTAGGCTGAATTATGTGAACGTCTTAAATAAAAAAACATTCTAAAAATGTATAAAGAAAGTTTAACTTGATAAGGACTTGGTACATTATTTCATATTATATTTCTACTAGAATTAAATAAATTAATTTAAGAGTAATAAAAAAATTAATGTAATTCATTAATTTAAAGGGGAATAATTTTCTTTAAAAAGTACTTCCACTAAATAACAAGGATGAATAGGTTAAAAAATGTATCATGGAAATGCAATTCTCTTGAGAAGATTGGTGGTTGGCACACAAGGTTACACTAAATAAGAAAATCATCCCTTCCTGATATGAAATCTAACTGGACTAATCACAATATCACAACAAATAAAAACAAGAGTTCCAGTGACTTGATTAAGATTATGACCAGTTTTCATCAATGCACATATGGCGCAAACAGCAAATCTTTAAGAGGGAAACAACATTAAAAAGAGGCATGATTGAGAAAAATTCGTAGAACAGTGGCAGGTGTGGAGATATAACTATGGAACATGGCAGACTGTGCAAAAGTGAATATGTGTTATAAAATTCAACACCTAATTTCATTATAAAATTCAACACCTAATTTCAATCTGCAAGAGAATTCTCAACATATGTAATCTGTGACACACAACATATTTTAATCTGTTATTATAGAATTAGCTTACATACACAGGAAAGACCACGGATTTGTACATGTAAAATAATAACATTTCAACAAGATTTGTTTCGTAATGATTCATAGCAACAATGAAAATAGTGATAACTTTTGTGTTATCAAAAAAAATGGCACGACAGTTGAGTCCGAACTTCTATCAGCTTTGCCCATGGTTTTCCCCACTGACAGAGCTGATAGCCGCTGGTTTCAGGACATTGATTGGGTCCTTTAACACCAGGTCCTAACAGGAGCAGCCTGTATGACTTTAAAATCTTTTGGTGACGAAATATTCAGCCAGTGTTAATGTGAACACTGTAACACCTTGGTGATTTTATTTTGTGTAGACCAGAGTTCAAAGGTAAATATGAAAGTATGATAGAAATAGCCAACTTGAAACTATTAGAAATGATTGTTGGGTGTGTGTGGGGGGGGGGGGGGGGGGGAGAGGAGGAGACTACTTTATGTTTTTAAAACTGAATTCTGAAAAAATTTATTACATTTTAAATTCTAAAATGATATTAAAAACTTTATAAAAGTTTTCTTTTTATTAAAGGCAGATAGATGTTTAACCATGTCCTACATCAAGGGTTGGCGACCTTTTGGCAATATTGTGCCAACATAGGAAATCTAATTTAATCAATGTTGTAAGTCTACCTTATAATATTAAGTTTTCTAGTTTTTTCATCTGGGTCTCATTGAATATCAGCCATGTGCCATGTAAAACATAGGTTGCCCCACCACTTGAACTATATTATATTGTATTTTAGCTGTATTTCAAAATATATAGAAGCTTCTTCTTTTTTTAAATATATATTTTAAAGGGGGGGTGGGGGGTGTGGGTATTTGTGTGTTTTGAGTGTGCATTTCTGATGTGCCGTCGGGCACTTGCAACTCTGCAAGATTTTGTAAAAGAAGTGTCCATCACAAGAATTCACTGGGAATTAGTAGTTTTAATCTTCAGGATGGTGTTGATCCTATTCAGAAAGCTGGGTGAATGACCACAAAGGTTGTTTTTTTTTACATTATAACAGGCTACTTCTTTGCCGTGATAGGCTTGAAGGAAAAAGGGGGCACACAATCAAGTGAAACACTGTACCTACTGAGTGTTGAAAAGCAGATTAGAACTTTATAAATAGAGGGAGAAAGACACAAATGATTCCCACAAATTAAGTCCAGCAAGCTTTAGGATTAATTTTTGTTTTTGCCCATGTATCAATAAAATGTAATTTGTAGTGTGGGAGTGGGTGGCTGAGACTTCTTCGAAAACACATGACCATGATATAAAAGCTTAACAAGAGTTAAGTGGGTATCAATTATATCTATATAAAATATCTTCAAATATTATCACCTCTATCCCCCATACACACTACAGCTACAAGCACACTGATTTAGCTATCAGCACTTCAATGTTTCTGCTGTAGTCACTGAACACTATTAAATGCAAGGGGTGATTTGGCTAGGGGCGAGGCCCGCCTCACAGTACCCCCCATCATGGACGGTGCACCGCCTGGGACGCTCAGTGATGAACCAGTCTGACCTGCAGATGGCGATGGTACAGATGATGGGGGCATGGCTGGCCCAGGTGGAGGGTTAAGCTGAGCCTGGGATACTGATCTGGAGGATAAGTCCTGTGTGTCTTGTGATGAACTTGAGGCTGACGGGGTTGTTGGTGTTTTAGGTGTGTTCTGTAGAGGTAAGGAAATCGAGATGAATTTTTTAAAATGAATATGGCTAAAAAAATGTGATGGTTCTAAACATTTCACTTATATAAATTCAAATAATGTGTTCTCAGTGGGGTTGCATGTAATGTTTTTTTTTATTGGGACCCCATGTAATCATGTGTTTTTACTGGGATCCAAATTGTCATGTGCTTTACCTTGGATCAAAATTAACAAGCGAGATTCAAAGTAATCTAGCATGTTAACTGGAGTAACCATGTAATTAATTGAGTGTTATAACTAGGATACAATGCAATAAATTATTAAAACTGGGATTTAATCTCATTAAGTATTTTAACATTGTTTTTTTTTTAAACATAAAAAAATGAAAAGAATGAAAAGTAATAACATTTTATTTAATAAAAATAAGGTTTTTATATAGACTAAACTTTAAATTATAAAGAAGTGGAATCGAACATACTAAGCTGATTTTTTGCAACATAGTAATAAGCCTCGAGTGCGGACAATGAAGCAAAAGGCAGTTCATGATGAGTCAGGCATAAACATGTATGAAATTGGGAGGGTGCCTCAAATACATGAGTTTAAAACATATGACCCAACATAAAAATTTTAAGCCTATTTAAATTTAATGGATTACCATACGTTTCCCCCCTGATGTTTACATTATAATAGCGATCAGACAAAGTTTATTTATTGCTAATAGAAGCTTCTTGTGGCACAGGACAGTCAGATTAACTGGGTGAAAAAATGGGTGGACCTTACCTGAACGGATGCCATCATCTTCTGTCGAACTTCACGAATCTTGAGTTGCAGGCAGCTCTTATTGGGGAAAATCTCAGAGTATTTGTTCTGGAAGGTAACGGTTGCCTGGCCTGGATGAAATTAGAGTGTGTAACAATATAGCACCAAAATGATATGTGCAGTTCAGTAAGTAAAAAGCAGTTAAGCAAAGAAAGAAAACGGTTGTTAATTAGTTCTCTATCTAAAATATGTCTAAAATAAATATTTACAGATTTATATTAAGTCTAAGTGTTTAAAAGATATGTCAGGCGGTTTAATTTTTGAATAAAATAAACCTCACCTTTAAAACCAGATTAGTGAAATAAACATAAGTTCCTTTTGAAAACAGAAATTAAAGCCTAGTCAAGTATAAAGAACTGTTCACCAAGGACACGTACGATTTTGTCCACCAGGTTTAAATAATATTCATGCGAAAGATTTAAATTCTTATAAAGAAGGGAAAATAATCTTAAAGACATTGGTAATTTTTTTAAAGGAAACTGCACATCATTTTATTTCCATTTTACATAAAACATGTTGCTAAACATTGTGGTCTTACTTGTGGGATAGAGGCCATGTTCATCAAACAGCTGCATGACCAAGTGTCTCCTTTGGTCCAAAATTCGTCGATTGGAGAAGGCACCTGGTGAACTGGGTGTTTTTGGTGTCCGAGGAGAATTTGGGTCACCATCAAAATCTGAAGAGTAGAAATAATTTTTAAAAATATTTATTTCCCCGGTTTTAAAAAAATGGTACTAATTTTAAATAATAGTTTTGACACTTGTTCAAGCACACCCAAATATTTAAAGATGAGTAGCGTGGGAAAAGATTGAAATCATTGATAGTTCACACAACATTGAAAGACCAGAGGCATTGTATTAGGATTTTTTTCTTATTTCTATACAGATAAATATAAGATGGAAATAGAAATGCTAGAAAGGGGGAAAATGCAGCTTCATTTCTTGAGTTTAAGTGTGATCTGAATTCAGACATCAGCTGCAACGTCTCAATTTACATTTTTCTTCAAAAACAAAAATAATTTGGCATACAAATGACAAAAATTAAAAAAAGAAAAACTAATTTTTAAAAATATGTAACAGAGCATATAAGTATTTTAAAAAAACCCACAAAGAATCAATATATTACGATATATACATACAAATATTAGGATTACTTTGGTTTTAATTTATCTTTGAAAAATCTGCCTATTGTCTTCCCGTCTTCCCTTTAAATTAGTGTTTTGATATTTAAAAGTAACCCCCATAATTTTTTTAACTTACATTTTTTAAAAAGATGTTTGAAAGATAAAGAAGAAATTATTGCATTTTATAGAGTTTATGAAAACTATAGATGCATTATTTAAGTTATGTGTTTGTAGAAATAGATTTGGACTGGTGTCAATTTAAAAAAAAAAATTCCTACAGTTTATATATAACAGGAACCCGAACCCTGACAAAGAAACCGAATAAATTTAGCTCACCAAAAACCTTGGAGCCTGGTAATCCTGTACTAGCAAGGTCAAGGCTGAAATTTTCTCCAAAGAATCTTCGGTCATCATGGCGAGTACTTTTGGGGGTTTTCGGAGTGGGTGTTGCCGCCTCCGACTCGCTGGAGTGCTTATTTGGGTCACCATCCTGAGCTTCACCTTTAGCTGTGGTTTGAAAATGATCAGTTTTATAAATAACAGTGATGGTGAACTGAGCTATTAAATCCCATGGGAATATCTAAGCAGTTTCAGTGAATTATTCTGACCCAATATATTGGAAATAGGATGTCATTTGCCTGTTTACCCTTTTGATGGTTGATTTTAACATTCTCAAATAAAATATACAAGGATATTTTACAGAAATAAGAATATTCTAAGACCAGTAAAAAAGATACAAACTTTCATGACCAAAGTTTTTTTTTTTTTTTTTTTTTTTTTTTTTTTTACTATCTTATTAATTACACATGACAAATGCCAAATACAGTTTACAGAAAACTATTTCTTTTACGTTTTTTTTCATTTAAGAATCTGATCTACACATTATATAATTATGTTTTGAAGACTGATTAAGGTGTACAAAATTTAAAAAAAAAACCAGTAAAAGTTTTTTTTTTTTTTTTTTTTTTACTATCTTATTAATTACACATGACAAATGCCAAATACAGTTTACAGAAAGCTATTTCTTTTACGTTTTTTTTCATTTAAGAATCTGATCTACACATTATATAATTATGTTTTGAAGACTGATTAAGGTGTACAAAATTTAAAAAAAAAACCAGTAGAGTATGTTATTTTATTTTTTTTAAAAGAAGAGTTTTTGTGCAGCATAAACATAGTGGAAAAATTAACAGTTTAGAACAACCTACCCAAGTGCGAGATTTTATTTTTTTGTTTGTAAACATTGATAATTCCACGAGGTGACTGTGGCAATGGAGTCGTGGACACTGTTTCGTCTGGAACATACTTAGGCAGGGAATGAAAGTGCTTTTCAAACTCAACCTGCTGAAGAACTCTGTGGACACAAAATATCATGAGACATACAGAAAGATATTGCATTTAATTACAAAAAAAGTAGTGCTCCTCACCACAAGTATTGCACGGCAAGCAGTCAGGGAGGTGCAGAATCTTTTCATTATAAAACCATCAAATCCCACTAACTAGTAAAATGATAAATACTCGAATAAGTTGGGGGGGGGGGGAAAGAGGGGGAAACCCCCAATCAGCAATGAGAAAAATGAGCCATTACAATGAAAACCAAAAAACTTTTTTAGAAAAAAAAAAAAACGGCAAGCAGTCAGGGAGGTGCAGAATCTTTTCATTATAAAACCATCAAATCCCACTAACTAGTAAAATGATAAATACTCGAATAAGTTGGGGGGGGGGGGAAAGAGGGGGAGACTCCCAATCAGCAATGAGAAATATGAGCCATTACAATGAAGACAGAAAGACTTCTTTAGAAATAAAAAAATATCTTATGCTGTGCAATTCTCCCATTTTTCTTTTGTTCTTTATACATTTTTTTTTGTTTTTGTTGACTGGAGAAATCATTTTCCCCATATATTCGTTATTTTGTTTTTTCTCTTTCAGATTTTCCTGTACCCTATGTTTTGTATTTCCCATTATATATTGAATGTGATGGAATAAATTGTTGCAGTTCATGGGCATGTTCACCGATTACCCCACAGAGCTTTACTTACTTATCCATCCCGTCATCTTTGTTTTTCTTGATGATGCTCTTTCTGGGACTACTGGCCACAGTTGGAGAGTTGGCTGCACTAGGAAGTTGCTGGACGTGTGAGGGCACATTTAGAGGTGGTGGCTTGTGCTTGAGTTTTGTCTGACAATAGATGCCAACAGTTTCATGTCTAATGTACAACAGCTGAGTTTTGTCTGACAATAGATGCCAACAGTTTCATGTCTAATGTACAACAGCTGCTGGACCCCCAATAATTATCAAATTTAAATTGTATTTGTTTTAAGATCAATAATTTTTGGTGCTATATTTACAGTAATTTTCATGGGGTTTTTTTTTTCCCCCCAGAAAAGATTTTCAAATTCAACACTGAAAATGTATTCATTTATTTAAAAAAAATTAAATGATTCAGGCACAATATGAAGAACTTTATTTCTGGCAGGGTAACATGATTTATTCAAGCTTTACCTGGCCAGTCGGAGACAGGATGTCTTGGTCAGATGACGCTGATCCTGAATGTTGCTGAGGTGGGGTGCTTGGGGTCACTATTGTACTGCCTCCACCCCCGTACTGCTGATAATCACCAGTGTTGGCAGGACTTGGGGAGTTGCCTGACTCAGGGGTCATCATTCGAACCTTTGAAGAATTTTAATTTATGTTATCTAAGTTATGTTACTGAATTAAAAAAAAAATCTCAACTGTCTAAGTTCACCATAGGAGCTACATTTTATGATTAGCGACTCACAAGAGGAGTCACTGTCATTATGATCATGAGACTAACCCCTAAATGTATTATAGAAATTAATGAGTAACTTATCATTTTCCCCTGAACACAAGCGTCACTGAAGTTAACACCAAGCGTCACTGAATTAAAGTGTTCAAAAGCCAGTTCTCATTATACTTTAAGCTAAAATTTCAATAGTTATAAAAATATAATGGTAAAAAATCAATACCATTAACGCAGTTCGTACCCTCCCACAAATGTTAAAATACAGAAAACCATTACTTCATCATGTGCATACACCTCCAAATAAACTATAAAGATATTTGTGTCACAACATAAAAGCCACTGTGGTAAACTTGGGGAAACCCCATACAGAAATATATATTTTAAAAAATACCTTTTTGGGTGCCTTCTTTCCTCTGGCAGGTGAACCTTTGGCATCCTCTAACATGGCTTGCTGCTGCTGCAGGTCTGATACTGACGTTCCCCTGGGATGACCTGGACTCTGGGTTATCTGCTGATCTGTGGGTGCAAAGATCTAAAATTATACACAGGTCAGTGCTTATGAAAAGGTTTCCTTGCCCAGTCGTGACACTTTGTTTCTTCTCTTAGAAGTTTAAACAGTTAATAAAAGATAAGATTCTTTATTGATTCAAATAAATGGACAAGTTTTTTTTTATTACATTGTACATATTCATTTTCAGCACATAAATAAATCTATATTTTTAACCAAGACAACAATTTACAAGAAGCAAGGACAAGTGCAGGCAATTAAATAATAAAGATCTTTTTCTTTCTTGCAAATTCCATTCTATATTTATACAATTTTTTTAAAAAGTTTTCAAGCCATAAGTATGAAATTTTAAAAAAAAAAGTGCTTCCAAGTTTTTAATACAACACTTTACAACTTTAGGAATGGCCACAATATTGCTGAATTTTGCTTGTTTTATTGAAAAACACTTCTTTAAAAAGGGTCTTTGTTTTTGTTGCACCCAAATAGAATGAAATAAGAGCCACCAATCAATCTCAAGGACAAGAAAATCCCAAACGCTAGGATGGAATCAACACCAAACCAGGACATATTAAACACCAAACTGGGACATAACCACCAAACCAGGATGCAATGCCCACCAAACAAAAGGACATAAAGATCCCAAAACACTAGGATGGAATAAATACCAAACCAGGACGTATTAACCATCAAAACAGGATGCAATGGCCACCAAACACAAGGACATAAAGGTCCCAAAACACTAGGATGGAATAATCACCAAACCAGAATGAAATACCACCAAACACATGGACATAAAAACTAACAAACACAAGTACATAGAAAATCTCTTTTGTGAAGTTTTGATTCCACTGTGACTATATGAGATGGACTGAATGGCACAGAGCAGAAGATAAGATTTAAAAAAAACATTGTGTTCGATTTTATGAAAAATGGAATGGTATAGTCTATGAACCATAAGGCACTACCCATATTTTATGAACTTACTGTAATGTCCGAGGCCAGGGCTTTGAGCCTGGTGAATAAGTCCAGGTGATGGTGATGGTGTAGAGGCTGGGCTTGCCATGGGAGAGTTGACAGCTATTTGACCTCGAGGAGCTACCAGGAAGAGATTTATACTATTAAAAGACATGGTTACTGCTTTAACAATTTAAAAAAAAAATCATTGTTTAGCAAAATATTTTGAGTGAGTCAAAATAATTTGCATATGGCAGCCACTGTTTCTTATATGGAACATTCTTGTTGATCCACAAATAAAAACTATGACTATTTGTGATGAGCTCTAAGTCTAGGACTATCATATGATTATCCCAAATTAATAGAATTAGCCCCCTCCCCACACATTTCTTTTGATAATTTCAAAATACAGGAATGGAGTTTGGCACTTATCTGAATTTAGTTTTGCATCATTCTACAAAATGTTTAATATGGTGGCCCGCAAATCGGAAACCCATGCTTTAGATCAGTGGTTCTTAATCTGTGCTCCGCGGAGCACCAGCTTGTAAAATCAAATTGGTGTGTAAATTTCACTCGGAGCGCCGCCGTTGAGAACAACGCTACCCACAATTGAACTTGACTAACACTAACATGGCAGCGTAAAGCTTGCTCGCCCGGCGAAATTAGGTCAGTGAAGCTTTAATCGGAGCTGTCAAATGTTCAAGTAAGTAGTAAAATAAACATCTTCTTTTAAATATATGAAGATATTTGATGAATAATTAAAAGTTGAAATTCTAAAAATAAACCCAAAAAAATCAAAAAAATATTTATATAAGTAAAAGAAAAAGTTTAAAATTTTAATTATTTACGGGTGAAGACCTAGGCCTACCTACCTATTGGGATGGATTTCGGTCGTTAAGTTCGGATCATAATGTTAAAAAAGTATTATTAATTGCCAATTCAATTTTGGTTTTTACAGTAATACCCCATAATGGACAAATTTCTTATCAAATGAAAAGCGAATGATTCAGAAGAACAAAATACTAAAAATGGACCAAGTACAAGTGGAAGCAGTAGTAATGCTCCTGCTGCACATATTGTGTCTGACACAAACGGTAGAATTAAAAGAAGAAAAATTAATCGACAGTATTCTGAAGAATATTTAAGTTTTGGATTTACATACATTTGTGAGGAAGAATATCACATTCCACAATGTGGAATTGTATGTGGAGAAAAATTATCCATCAGCGCGATGGTTCCTACCAAGTTGAAACGTCACTTTTCTACAAATCACGCCAATCTTGCTACAAAAACTAAAGATTATTTCAAACGATTGTTAGATACGCAAGCTAAACAAGTAAAATATTTTGAAAAAACTGTGAAAATTTCCGATAAGACACAATTGGCGTCATATAAGGTTGCTGAAATGATTGCTGTTCAGTTAAAACCACATACTATAGCAGAGTCTTTAATTATACCTGCATGTTGTGAAATGGTTAAAATTATGTTTGGCGATGAAGCAACAAAGGAAATAATGAAAATTCCTCGTTCAAATGATACAATAAAAAATAGAATTAAAAATATGTCGGATGATATCGAGAAAACAGTTGCCCATAAGCTTTCCAAACGGCATTTTGCTCTGCAAATTGACGAGTCCACTGACATAAGTGGAAAAGCTCATATACTAGGGTTCGTTCGTTTCATTCATGAAAACGAAATAGTGAATCAATTTCTATGCTGTCTTGAGCTTACCGAACGTTCGACAGGACAAGATGTCTTTGATTCTATTTCTTCCTATTTCGAACAATTCAAAATATCATGGGAGTTGTGTGTGGGAATTTGTACAGACGGTGCTCCATCAATGGTAGGCTCATTAAAAGGGTTTGTGACTCTCGCCGAGAAAAGAAACGCCAATATTATATCTACTCACTGTTTTTTTACACAGAGAATCTCTGGTGTCCAAAACATGACCAGTAGCATTAAAACCTGTGCTAGACAAAGTTGTCAATACGGTAAACTTCATCAAATCGAGACCTTTGAAAATACGCGTCTTTAAAAATCTTTGCATCTCTATGGAAGCCAAGTACGAATCTTTGCTTTTGCATTCTGAAGTGAGATGGTTATCCAGAGGAAAAGTGTTACGTCATTTCTTAGAATTGAAGGATGAATTGATGACCTTTTTCCAAAATGAAAATATGGATGATTTTGTGGAATATCTTCAAAATGACATTTGGTGTGCTAAATTGGCATATTTAGCTGATATTTTTGATTATTTAAATTGTGTTAATACCAGCCTTCAAGGAAGAAAAGAAAATTTTTTAACATCGACCGACAAATTGACAGCCTTTCGGAAAAAAGTTATTTTTTGGAAAAATCGTTTGTTGGAGAAAAAGAAAGTAGATATCTTTCCTTCTCTTAATGATAACACTACCGACGAAATTATTTCAGCAGTAACAGAGCATTTAACTTTATTAGAAGAAAAGATTGAATTTTATTTTCCATCAATAAACGTAGAAACATATGACTGGATACGTAATCCCTTTGCCATGGTTGATACATCAAATAGTAAGTTGTCATACCAAGAAGAAGAAGAATTAATCAAACTATCATCAGATCGTACACTTAAAATAAAATTTTACGAAATGGTTCTGGAGGGATTTTGAATCTTTGTGTAAGAAGAATAATCAGCTCTCTCCATGAAGGCACTTAAAATCTTGTTGCAATTTTCAACATCATATTTGTGTGAACTCGGTTTCTCGATAGTCACCAACATACAAACTAAAAAACGAGCAACACTTACTAATTTGGATGAAGAATTGAGGGTAGCTATTTCTAAAATTAGGCTTAATATCACTGAAATTTGTAAAAACCGTCAAGCTCAGGTTTCACATTAAATCTTTTTATTTTTCTGAATTAAATTTTGAACAATGTTATTTTTTTACTTATTAAATTTATGTTTATTAAAAATTTGTTTGTCATGTTATAATTTTAAACTCGTATGTTCTAATGTTTTATTTTCAATAAAAGTCGTACGTATGTGTATTTGTTGTTTTTTTTTTACTCCTTGATTTTGGTGCTCCCCAAATTTTTGTCATGATCAAAAGTGCTCCCCGACTTCAAATTAAGAACCACTGCTTTAGATGGTAAATTAAATTTTTTTAAAATTTTGTTCTCTATCCAGGAGTGAGACATTACATTTTCTCAAATTTCTTTTTAAGATAATAATTTTGGTGAGGTAAGATCAATAGTATTTTTAAAAGTTTAAAGAGCATCTGCATTGCATTTAACTAATAACTTCACTTATCTCCAATGACACAACAAAACAAATTAATTAATATTTTGAATGAAGTTTTAAAAATTAACAAATGTAAGTACTCTTAAATTACTGAGATATTGTCATGCTCTGGTTGGAAGAAGCAGTCTACCCAACACATGTGCTGGTTCGTGCCAGCCATGCATGAGGAACACTTACACTGGGAGGTTGTTGACTTTAGGGATTCCGTGGCCACAGGAACATGGGCAGTGGTGGCCTTCACCCGATTGGACTTGGTGTGAAAATTGGGACTGCTGATGTAACCTATGTCTGCAGCTTTGCCCTCAGTTGGAACGTTGATTACATTGGCCTTGATATTCATAGTTCCTGCAAAAAAAAAAAAAAAAAGAAAAAAAAAAAAAAAAAAAAAAAAAAAAAAATTTTGTTAATGCTGATTACATTGGGCCTGCTGTTCATATTTTCTACAAAAGGGGTATACAATTTTGTTTTGTTAAGTGATACCCCATCCCCACTGTAGTAAAGGGTTGGGTGAGCGGGTGACGAGGATACATTAACCCAAATGGGATAAAAATGAATGTTGCATCAAGTCAGTATAGCAGAGAAGCACAGCCAACTTGTTGTAGTTTCTAGTAGCTCTGCAGCTATCATTACAGCGAATCATAACATCATTTTGGCCATATCACCTTTTGTTTTATTGTACAATCCAAAATTTCAGGAATTTTATTAACTATGGGCTATTTTATCATATTAATTTTTTTTTAAACCATTTATACTAATAATCAGTAATTCTCCATGTAAATAGTATATTTTGGAATTATAGTTAAAAAGTTCTATGACACCTGCTGTAGTACAACTAGTTTACAATTCCTATGGAAAATGGAAAGTAATCTTTAGAGCTCAGTTAATAAATTTTCCTGACCATGCTACATTCTGAAGTTGAATTTAACAAACGTGGGACATTTATTATTAACGTCTTTAAATTTGTACCCCAAAAATTCTTGCATACAAAAACTAGATTAATATGTGATAAGTTTCCTCTCAAACCTTAAAAGATCATTCAAATGGGAAAAGGGACAGCTCAACTGCTACCCCGTGGACCTCAGAACACACATTTTAAAAAATTCTGATCCCAAAACCATAAAAATTTTGAGTATGAAACTGGAATTTTTATCAACATTTAGCTCTTGAAAAAAATCCTTTGTTAGTGTATTAGATAAACAAAACAAAATGACAACCCTCAAAGTTACTGCTTAAGTTTCTCTTTAAAAATCCTTGTTTACAAGAAAGCTATAGTGCAAATTACCTTGATAATACTTGGGGCTGGATGTCTGTGGGGGAGACTGGGTGTTCAGCACGGCCTGAACAGGTCTGGGGGCAATCTGTGGCTGGGACGTGGGCATGTTTCCCGCAGATGTAACAGCATGGAACTGTGGCTGACCAATGTTGTTGTTCCCAGATATGTGAACGTGAGTGGTGGTGGCTGGACTCATGGTGGGGTTGGGAGAGTGAATCGCTTGTGGTGACTGCTGCACCAACAAATGCTGAGCTGTGGACCAAACAATTGGACAAATTGTGATTAATAGATTAGACCTTGCCTGGGGTGAAAATTTGCCCCCAGCTCCTTCGGTGTAAAGACAGTGTTTGCAATGTGTGGTAATCATTACCTCATGATAGGGGAATGGGTAAGTTTTGTTATTTTAATTTACCTTTGCTTTGCTATATAAACTTTCCCCCAAAATTTGGGGGTACTGCTCTAGTGAAATCAAATGTGTCTCAAGTAACACACCCATTATGTAATTTTGGGAAAACACTGGGAGAAAAGAAGTATTCATCTAATCCAGGGGTCTCCAAACTTTTCAGCCCGAGGGCCGCATTAACTATCAAACAGTAGTTCGCGGGTCGACTGCACACTCGAGCAGGGTTTCTGTCAGCAAAATCTCAGGGGGGCCCCCCCTTTCGAGCAAAAACATCTCCAAAAATGAATCAACTGGCACTCCCCCCCCCCCCCCCCCCCAAAAAACACGAAGGGGGGGCGGGGGGGGGGGGGGTTTTGAAAAAAAATACACCCACCGGGGCCAAAAAAAAAAAACTCGAGGTCCAAATAAAAAAGAATCAAAACATGGATGTTGTTTTTCATTATTTATATAATATTATTTCATTCAGTTAATGACCTCCAGCTGCAGTTCCTCTGGGCGACTGGCCACATCTGTTTCAATTGGGTTTTGAAAAAGTCTCACTTCTTCAGCCTTTAAATCCAAGTCAGAAAACCGCTGCTGAAAATGCAGCTGGGGGTCTTTGATGATCTCGCATGCAAATGACGTGGGGAACTCCGCTGTTGCTTTAGCCATGAAGACCGTCCACTGCTACAAGAGCGTAAAGTTGTTGGCCTGTACTCGTTCCAAAAACAAGATGAGTTTGGATTTGAAGGCCTTTAAGAGGTGTATAGATCTTGTGTTATGTTCATGTCTTCAACAACACTCCTAACGAACACAAGCAGTTGAGAGGTGGACCAGCTGTCCAGCGATTCATCCATTGCAAATAAAAATGGTGAAACTTGCTTGCAGTTTTTCGATATTTGAGTCACAATATTTTCACCCATGTCTGCAACACGGCGGGCAAAGCCCCGCCACTACATGTCATTTCATTGACTGTGAACCAAAGTTGAAAAATTAAGCATCGAATAAGATTTTGCAAAGTAATGATCGGTTAGAAAACATAACGCACTACTGCAGGCCTCTATTTTAATTCGGTAAAAACATAACGTCCACCTAAGCGGCGTCTGATCTTATCAGGATACACATACTTTTGGGTAATTTTTTATTCCGTTTACAAAAGGTCTCCACGGCCGCATGATAGAGCCTCGCGGGCCGTAGTTTGGAGACCCCTGATCTAATCAATTACATTTTGTGATTTGGTCTTAAACCTCTTAGTTTTTACCACATGAAAATTACAGTTTGAATAATAATACATAATAAAAATAGCATGTTAACTCTCTTATTTTTAGCACCAGCACATTTATTGGCTAAAAAAGTAGCTGTCATAGTTATATCAGAGAATTTTGGCACACACACACACAGATTTATGTTGTTTTTTTTAAAATAGAATTAGCAGAGGAGCATAAGTGCATGTTTTTTTAGAGAATTTTAGCAGAGGAACATGGTTATGTCAGAGAATTTTAGCACAGGAGCGTGGTTTTATCAGAGAATTTTAGCACAGGTTCCTCTCATTTCCAGATGCATTGCATGAGTAACAAAGACAAATGGTTGCTTTCTTTTTATACCATGTGTTTCTCACCTGGTTGAACGGAGCTGACGTATGCTGGAACATAATGTACCTCCCCTTTCCCCCCTGAAGTCAGGGTTACTGCTTGCTGGATGAGGTTGACCCTAAAGGGAAAAAACATCCACTTCTTTATGTGTTCATAACATAACATGAATTTTTTCAAGAGGGGTACAAAATTTTCCCAGATTTTCAATTAGTGGTCTTTCAGGATCTGTCACGGTCTGTGTCATATTTGTTGTATGGAGTTTTCCTAACATCATAATTTCTATTTAAAGTTGGTGGATGAAAGAACACTAAAAACCTCAAATTTATAAGCTAGCTTTCCTGTTCCCCTGATACATGCATACTCTCACAAAATATGAGGACAGAAAACTGTGTCCATCAGTACTATAAATTTGAGCTTCTGCAGCTTACATCTTCAGTTAAGATATTTGAAATTTAGTTTCTACATGGAATGAAGATGATTATTGCAGCTTGGAATTATCTAGAGTTCCAGGAATGATGTCCTTGGCATAAAGATTTCAACTTACTTTTGTGAGGTGGGCAATAGGATCCTCTGCTGACCTGGCCTGACCCCACCTTGTACTAAAGCTGCCTGTGTTACTATGTTGCTGGGCCCAGACTGGAGGCCAGGAATGTTGGATGAAGAGGCAACTGCCAAACAGACGATGGGCTGGGCAAATGTTCCTGTAGATATCTGCACCTGTTGGGCTCCACCTGATGTTATATTCCCAGGTGACTGGACTAACATGGCCACCTGACATATTTTAAACAAGGAATTATTTAGACCATTTTAATGGACAAAGTCACATTAAATATTCAAAGTTTAAACCTGAAAATAAACAAAACAAATTCTTCCCCAAATGTTCTTGTGAAGCAGTTATGTCAGAGTGAGAAAATAAAAGCTGATAATGCAACATTCTGTTTGTTAAAAAATGGACTCTTATATGGAGATTATTTTTCACCAGTTTTAGTGAGGCCAATAACCATACAAACCCTAGTAGAGGGCGTCGGTCTAAATAACTAAGCGGTCCCCCCGGGGTGGTAAGGGGGGACTTTAGAGACGTTAAATATCCACCCCAACCCCCTAGAAAGTCCGGCCCGGTTCCTGCGTAAGCAGAAGCCCGGCTGGCCAGGTGTTTCTTCTCTGGGGCTGCCACGCTCAGCGGCCAATCGAGTGGAGGTCGGGCGTGGCGGTCTTAGGGGCGGAATGTCCCTGGCGTGTCGCTTTGCGGCCCGACCGGAATAAAGACCACTGGGGGAGTGGTTGACAGCTGGTTTGGCTGGCGAGGTTGTGCGTTGGGGAGGACCATATGAGCCTCGGCTCGGTGTTCGCTGATTTTCTTAAGTTAGTTAGTTAGTGAGGCCAATGCTGGGAAAGAAAATTGACTTCAATAGATACGAAATTGCAAAAACAAAAAAAATTCTCCATCAATCGCTTTTTAGCTACCTGTTGATGCTGTGAGCTCTGTGGCTGAGATGACACAACTTTGTGAATCTGTATTTTTCCAGCAGGTATTGGGCTTGCCTGGCCAGATGTTGCAGGGTTGGCTACTGCTAGAATATTGGCTGGCTGTATTGTGGTGCCTGTCAGGGCCATCTGTAAGGCTTTGCTGCCTTGGGCTGCCGCTTGGACTTGGAGTGATGGCAGAATGTATCTGTGTGCGTGTGTGAAAAAAACAAAACAAGTTTTTAAAACTTAAAGCTCCAAAAGTTTGAGAATCTGTTCGCAAAAAACAAAACGCAGTACTACATCTAGTGTAAGTCGAAAATCTCCTTTAAGATTCTTCAAAAATCTCCTCTAAGACTCTTTGAATATCTCCTCTAAAATTCTTTGAAAATCTCCTCTATGATTCTTTGGAGTAAAATTCGGATTTCTTGGATGTTTTAGATGTGAATTGTACAATGATATTTCATTTAACAAAGTTTCAACAAGCAACTTGCCTTTAGGTACTGATAGATTGAAACCAAATAAACTTTTCTTTGGAGCATAAAAGCCAAATGAAACAAACATATTGTGAGGACATTTTAGATGAAATGAAATAAATAAATATTTTGTTGACTTACCTCACTGGAGTGGGCTGTTGATTGGCCTGGCTTGGGGCAAAGCTGAGAGCCTGAATACTGGTCTGTTGTGTCAGTGTTGTTGGGTTGGCTTTTAGGACTAGACCAGTGGTGAACAAGGCAGACTGTAGGACAAAATATATCATTAAGTCAATTTTTTACCCTCTTTTTGTAGCTTTTGTCAGCCATTTTATATATATACACACATAAGTAGAATAAAAAAAAGACTTTCTCTCATCTGTCAATAGCACAGGATATATACCCTACCTGGACCTGGGCCTGCTGCTGTGATGACACCTGAGTCGGTGTCATATTTCTCAAAGTGGCCGTCATAAAACCTGAAAGGACATCAGGTTAAATCCATTGAAACTAAAGTAAAATTTGGCGTGTATTTAAATAACCTTAATAATAACAGTTTCTTTAATCATGGTAGAGTTTGTACATAAATCTATAATGGATTGAAGCTTTTAATTTTGTTTACACTTCAGGGGTAACAAACAGCTTTTTCTAAATTATAGACAACCCTCATAGTGTAAACTTCAATACAGACAAACATTTTTTTAAAACTTGCATTAACCCTTGACTACTTACTATAAATTTAAAAAAAATGTTTTTCAAATCTTTTAGAAAAATATACTAATAATAAAATTTGCAAATATAATCATAATTGAGTTTTAATAACCTTTGCTCCCTGGGCATATCATTTCATTTCTATGCAGCCTAGAAACATTAAAAAAAAAGTTTATATAACTTAAACTTTTCATTTCTATGCAGCCTAGAAACATTAAAAAAAAGTTCATATAACTTAAACTAACAGTTAAAAAAATAATATGATATTGTTTTCACCTTGTGGAGCCAAAGCTGCAGGGCTGGAGAGCCTGTTGGCATTGAGGACAGTCATCCCTGTGTACTGATTACTCTGCAGTACAATTGTGCCCTTCAAACCCTGCTGCTGTATCTGGTGCAGGGGCTGGAGAGCTGACATAGCAGGCTTGGCTCCTCCCACTCCAGGGGAGGGTGACTGTGGGAGTGGCTTAGAGGCAATGGGGACTGGGGTGGAAATGGGCTTGACTGAGGTGGTGAATGTTGGGCTGACAGACTCATTTGATGTGATTGCGTTGCTGACAACAGTCTGCCAGAGGTAAGTATATTAATTGAACATCTCTTAAACAAAAATAGGAGCCAAATAATTATACTACTGATATTTAAAAACACAAATCAATTTTATAGACAACATTTTTAAAAAAGGGTTGGATTTAAACAATAATAAGAGCGAAGCAGATCAAAAGACACAAAAATTGTGTGGCAACAAATAAGATGAAGCTCATGTATGCCAAAAAAATTAAATACTGAAAAATTTAGGCTGAATCTATTTACAGATATTTAAGTGAAAAATGATAATACATAAAGTACATTAGCTGTAATATAATAATATGACTGATACTAACTAAAAAGTACAGAAAAAAAATGCAGCGATTGATTTTAATAAAAATTACAGCCTCAACCAGAACTGGTAGTATCCCTATTAGAATAGCAATGCTGACCACTGACCTGTGATGTTGTCATGAGCTGCACTGCCCCCGTGGACAACTGGATGTATTGGCCTGGCGTAAATTGCTGCACATGGTGCTGCTGAAGCATCTGCTGCTGCGGCAGTGGCGTGTGCTGCTGCTGCTGTTGCTGAGTGACAGGGCTGCTACCATTACCTTGCTGTGTTGGTCGTAATTAAGAAAGAGTACAGATGTTGGCTAAAAAACTTTTGATTGTCAACAAGATCACAAATACATTTATTTCTTACTATCTTTAGACAATAAAAACCAGCTCATGACAATAGCAGTTCTGTGTTTTTATATAATATGCAGATAATTAACAATGAAATCAAAGATATTTCATTTTTTAGGATCAATTAAGCATTGTAAATTTCAGTAAATGTCAGAATTATATATCAATCTCATCTGCAACTGTTCTGGTAGAAACAAAAACTATTTATAGTAACCAAGCACTAAAAGGGTTGTAAGAACACGTAAAATGCAAAGTACTTTAAAATGTTATAAATTTTTTTTTTAAATTAAAGAATTTCCTTAAAAAAAAAACAACTAACAGAGGTTTATGCCCAGTACATCATATGCCCTGTACATCATATGCCCTGTACATTACATGCCCCATACATTTACTGCCTTTGAAACTAAGAATGTTTAATGTCAATCTTTAAATTTATTTTTTCTTTAACAGTCCGTTTCTGATTGTACTTGTTTTTTAACAAATTACTTGCAGACCTGTTTACACATGCATGTTAGCAATCCTAACATACCTGTCCTCTTACACCTCTCGTTCGGGACATTTTCCCCATGACAGGTCCACCTTGCCGACCCATAGAGGTCTGCATGTTGCTGGACATGAAAATCTGCTGCCGATCATCCTGGGTGACTGTGATATTGTGAATTTTTATGGGTCCCAGCTTCTCTACCTGTAAAATGAGCTTTAGGTTAGTACAGTCCTCTACTGGTTCCTGTCTCAGTGGTTAGTTTTAATAATCAAGTTATGCCACACTCAACAATGGAATTAGTTCCTCAAGCAAATGATTAATTTGTTTTTGTTGAATGACAGGAGCAATCTGAATATAATACCAGAAAAATTTTTAAAAATTTAAAAAAAATTCGAAAACTATTATCTTTCAAGAATCTGCGCATAAATTATTTTACACATCTGATTAAAATTATAATTTTTTTTTATACAACACAAATATTTTTAGGCAAACAAGTTTATTATGATTAAGTTGGCATACTTAAATATTTTTTAATTTAAATATTATGACTTTTTATTTATAGAGGAAATTTTTCTTTTCCTTTCAAGAGACAATTTTTTTTAATCTAAGAAAGGAAAAGCGTATATGCCAACCGTTTGGTGACTGGTTAATCCAAGATTGGTTGGTTTGGGTGGGTCAGGTTTATCTTCACTGCGGGAAGATTTCAGTTCTGGTCTTGATCCCTGATTTGACCCCTGAGCCAGGTTCTCAACACTCCCCACTGACATCATCCTCTGCAGTTTAGACTTTGGCTTGGCCTGATTAAGAGACAAAGAATATTTACAATGCCCATTCAGCATTGCCATTCTACAAGAACTTGTTATCATTTCCAAGTTCATCTTTGGTCTCTAAACTTATACAATGTTATCAATCTGTTATTCATTTCATAATATGACCAATGTTTAGCAAATTAAAGAACTTACAAAATATCTACTTTTGGTAGCTAATTTATCATTTAATGCTAGATTTCATGAAAATACACCACACGCCAAAAGGTTAGAGTAGTTAAAAAGAAAGACAAAAAATATTTCCTTATTGTCACATGTAAATTTATTTCTCCAGAAAGAACTAAAATGCAAAATATTAGTGCATTGATTTACCATCGTATGCGTATCGTTAATGTTCATAGTGTGCATACAGCCTTGCTTTAGATCTATTCATAAGTTTTTCTGCATCATAGCAATAGATTCTCGAGCAGTATGGCTGGTTGCCCCATACTTTTGATACCACGGTCTATTCATGAGAATGTTCCTTGCACAACAGAACTGGTTTAATTATCATGCCCCTATAGCATTTTAAGGTGACAGTAATAGCATTGCCTTCCTCATCCTCAAGGAAATAGAGGCCTAACGTAACATGTGCTGAAATGGCACACAATCACACATACACTGTGTAGCAGTTTCTGGACAATAAAATCTGGCCACTCAAAACCAAGATCTCTAACGACTGATCTGGCTGTCCAAGTAAATAAGACTTTCGGCAGAAAACCCCCACGTTGCTAAAAAAAAATTTGGATCCTCGTACAACATGGCCAAAAATTATCCACCATGACTCCCATTTGTTAAAAACAGTTGCTGGCCAACCAGTCTAAACCTTCCATTGAGACAATAAACTCCCAGAAAGGATACATTTCCTCACAATAGAAAGCATAACCATTTTACTACTAAGGCCCATTTCACAACCAGTTCTGTATGGGCTAAAATAGTACTTAAGTAGGAATAAAAATTTCCTCCGGAGAGAGACCAATTTCCAATAACAACCCCCGAACACAGCTTCCTTGACACTCCGGGTTACACATGGCTGCTGAAGCTACACACCATTGACAAATGCATGTACACCTTCAAGATGCCAGATATTTTTGGCTCATACTGTATATCAAATGTTGATAAGAAGTGCAACTGTTGAAACAATGGTCAAAGCTGTCCAAAAGCGCTTGCTTCAGTTAAATATGGTGCAACAATAATTGCTTTTATTTTTTTTTAAATTAATTACTATTAATCTAATAATTAATCAATCATATAATCACTGATAATAAGATCAAAGTGTAAAATAATTGTAGCATTGCATTATGTTAATGCAAAATAGTCGATTTTTCTAAAGAAGACCACATTTTTTTCTAATGAATAATTGTTGAAAGGACATGATTGGAGAGACTTTTTTCTTAAGTTTCTACCTGAAAGATATCTCCCTTTGGTTGAAATCCTGAACCAGTACTAGATGGCCTTGGTAGAGTCAAGGCCTCTTTGGTTGCCGCCTGGAGGGAAGGGAGACTCGAATGCAGAACCAACTTCTGCTGCTCCTTGATATCCTTGCAAGAAGAGCTATAAATGCTGCTACAGCTGCCTGCTGTTGATACAGGGCTGTTAAAGCTATTGCTGTTGCCCGATGTAGGTTTTATCGGCTTGGGGTACAGGACCTCAGAAAGTTTTACCTACAGATGAAAAACAAGGCCCTTTTTTGGAGAAGCACTTCAGCAATTATTTTTAGAATGATTAACTCACAAATGTTATGTAATATACTGGAGTGCAAGTTGTTTTTTTTCCAGATGCTGGCACGACCACCTCAACTATTCTCTGAAGCCACTTTATCATTTTCTTGAGCATGTTCAGAAAAAAGCATATCACCAAAAATTTAACTAGCGAAAAAGATTTTTTAAAATTTGAAACAGTAACACATCTGGTTTGGTCTAAATACATAAATTACTTAAGGATATGAACATATCAAACCTAATAAATGTATTTTTCAAACCCCTCTTCCCTAACAGATTTTTAAGAAAAATTTGTATAGGTAAATTGGAGCCATAAACCAATAATTCTGGGTATCCTAATTAAAGGCCAGCTCACCTGCTTCATGACTGGTGAAAATCTTTGTTGTGGGAAGGCTTTGTTCTCAATAAGCCCTTCCTCTTCATTGTCACTCTCAGTTGCTGAATCTGATACATGTTCTTGACAGTTAAGATCCAGCTGGTTGAGGTCATCTCCTGTGATGAAGGTAACATTTTCATTTAAGGGGGAAACGTATGTGGTAGTAGAAAATGTAATCGAAGAGTTTGAGGGGAGAAAAGCGCCCATCTAATTTTAAACAAATAGCAAGAACACAATATGTGGCAGCTTGAGTAATGATACCAGACAATCGAACGTTTTGGCTGAAAGCCTTGATCAGCTAACACAACTAAATAAACAGAGAGAACAAAATAAAATCAGGGCTTTGCTTGCTATAAAGAGGCGAAACAAGAATTTATTAATATCAGAAGTTGAAATGGTAATAAATAAAACTCACCCTGGAAGAGATAGATCACAGAATACTATACTATTGACAAGTAAGAAGATTTTTCAACATCACAAAGTTCCAAGTAAAGCATTCATACCTTCTTCACAAATAACCATTTTTGAATCATCATCACTGTCATCATCGTCATTTCTCATAGATGTCCTCCGTGATGATGGTGGAGTGGTGTGCTTAGGGGCAGTTATCTGCTGCTGTGGTGGCTGTGACCTTGGACTTGCCAATGAAGACTGGGGCAGGGGGGCATCTTTCTTCTTATCCCTAATGTTTGGCTGAAATAATTTATTTCCCTCTAATTAAAGGCAAATGAAAACTGTAATAAGGGTAGAGACTGCAATCAGGTTAGCACAATATGAAACAGAATAAAATAAAAATTCTAAGCAAAGTGCTATTCTTTAAATTTTTATGTTATTATGTTTTTTCTGTTGTTCTGTTCGCTGACGAAGGCGTCCTGCCGACACGTTCGTCGTTTTGTTGTGTTCCTTTTTCAGGTGTAGCCTTACTTTGTTTTACTCATTTCCTAATGAAAACTTTAACAGGACCATCAACACTTAAAACCCCCGTTCCATATTTGGCCATATTTTTTTAAGCTAGCTGAAGCTGCTAACCATGTGACAAGATTACTTTTAAGGTCAAAATAATCTAGCCCATATTTTTTTTAGAAGTTACAAACAATTAATTTTTAAAGCATTTTCACGCATCCTAAAATTTAACTTATAATTAGAAACATACTTTAAGTTTAGTTTTGTTTCGCTAATATTTTATTTAGACAGAGATTTGGGACCTTTATTAAAATTAAATAATTTTAAAAAGTCTGCTATTAATGAATTTTAAAAAAAAGTTGAATTACAAAAGTAAGCTCATAAAAGTTGTTTCTTTCAGTTAAAATTGTGTTAAGCCGGTATAACAGGCCCCCCCCCCCCCCCTCTGTTTCTAAAATTAAAAAAAGGATCTTGCATAAAGAATTTTACCCCAGGCACAAAAGGAACAAAGGCACTGCTTGCATCATCATCCCTAGGCACTGCTGACAGACTGTGAGGTCTCTGGCGGGGTAACAGGACAGGCTCATCAAACACGTGATCTTCTAGGCTTGTCTGTTCAACCAACTGTTTGGGCATCAACAAGTCGTGGCTCTCTGAGGGGGGCCCAAGATCACTTGGTGCACTGGTGGGAGAAAATATAAGGGCAAGATCACTTGATGCACTGGTCAGAGAAAATATAAGGGAAAGATCACCTGAAATAAGTGCAAGCTAAAATAAAGGGACAAATCACTCTGTGCACTGATGAGAGAATTGATAGGGACAAGATCACTATGTTCTCTAGGGAGAGAAAATATAGGGACAAGATCAATCTGTGCACTGGTGAGAGAAACTATAGGTACAAGATCCCTTGCTCCACTTGACTTTTCTTAATTTTCTCCTAGATGTAATAAACAAAATTTGTTATTTATTGTTAAAAATTAAATTACTGTATACTACTGTGCACAACATGATCCACTATCAAACTTTTGCCTGTGTAATGCGATCTGCTTATCTTGTTCTGTAATAATACAATATGAACTAACTTAAATGTCAATTTTCAATAAAAATGTCGAAATCCTTTAAACGGGTACAATACTTAAAATGAACGGTGGTCATACCCATACAACTATGCCGTCAAATTACATTCACTGGGCAGAAACGATGCACGCTCAGTCACTGAATTCGAGGGGCCAAGAAGATTTTTTTTGCGTAGGCATTAGAATTTATTGATCGTAATGACAAATTTCTTACACATGCATTTAATGCAAACCCTTAGTTTTAAACAGCATTTTTTTTAAAAACCATAAATTTCTCACATTACATGCGGTAACCTGATGTACTTTATATGAAATTCCCTCATTTTAATCTGAACAACAACATGCACACATTTAAATTTTACTTTAAAAAATTATTAAAATTAAAAGACATATGTTGACCTAAAATTAATTTTATATTTAAAAGTCAGGCTTGAGCCTCATCTGTTAAGATACAAACACAAAAGTCTGTCTGGCACAATGCTTACCAGTGCATCAGACTTGAGTGTGATGTGACATAAATATAAATGTAATCAAATCTGTTGACAATACTAGCCATGCTTCTAGAGCAAAACACACTCAACTAAACTACCAAGTTATTTAAAATTTTAAAAAATGCTGTGTAAATTAGTTCAAATCTTAAAGAGGTAAAGTGATGAAGAAAAATATATTGGAAACAGCTGGTGCTAAATATGAACTCTTACCCAATCAGGTCGATGCTGTCATCGGTAGAGCTAAGCCTACTATCATGCTGTTTATTAAGAGTGGCGGCAATAGTGCTGGATCTCTTCCGGTCTTTACTGCACCACTTCCAGTCAGGGTGGGCCTTGAAATGGGCCTCCTTTACCTGGGAGAAATAAAGCTCTGATCAATATAATAATTTTTTAACAACACATCTTTGTTGAAAAATGAAGCAAAAAATTCCAATTCTCAACATTATTTTCATTATGACATACATTTTTTTCCTTCTTAAGTAAACATTATATTGTATTTTGCTGACAACAGTTACCAGACAATAAAAAAATTAATTAAATTAAAATTTAAGAAACATCTTATTTTACTCATTTATATGGCAACGAGTGTTTGCTATTATGAAAGGAATCAAATTTGTTGGTCAGACTTCTAATAACACCTAAAATCATGTCCTATGATGAAAGGAATAGAAATTATTAATTTTTTCTATTGCAAGAACATATAATTTATTAACCATGACTTTTTATCCTATCTTATACTAGTATTTAACTTAAATATATATTTTTTGTACCTTTGCAGCCAAATCGTGATATCTCTGCTTTTCATCTGGACCTAATGCGTACCACCATTCCCCTAAAATTTTACTAACTGTACGATTGTCCTGATTGGGGTGTCGCTCATGCACCATGGCGCGGTGACGCTTGCTGAAGATCATGAAGGCATTCATTGGTCTACGGATGTGGTCTTTACTCTGAAACATAATATTCGAACATGCAATACAGGGATTTCCATTCTTGATCAACAGAAAGTAAATTTCATCATCTAGTTAAAATTATTTATTTTTATTATTGGCAATGGAACAAAGGTGAACATACGGGTCGAGTTATTCCTTTTAGAAGAAAACTTAGGAATATCAGTTTTTACTGACTGTGTTCTTCAATTTATTTATAACCCTAATAGATAATAACTCTTGTATTGATACTTCAAACTGCAGATTCAAATCAATGTAAAAATAATTTTATATCCCAAATTAAAACAAATGCTAAAGAAATCTTAAAGAAAATAATATTAGATAATATGAGAGACTACAAGCAAAAAAAAAAAAGAATAAAATCAAAACTTGGTGGCTCTTCAATTCAAATAAAGACTATCTTTTGCTATATATGCTCCGACTGAATTTTGTTCATTATTTCAGTACTAATTTTCATATCATATATAATGCTATTGGAGATTCAATGAAATCTCATTTGCGCAGTAAGTAAAACAACGTAAACATCCACTTTCTGTATCATCAATAACTTTGATTATATTTTATTTACTAATCATCAACGATACCGACCACTGAGTGTCAATCCTTGAATAAGACTAAATAAAGTCCATTTTGTCTCCAAAGACAAATTTTAAATTTAATGCAAAGCACAAAATTATTCATACCACAAAAGATACACAACTTAAATACAAAAAAAATCTGAAACCATATAAATACAAATTTATTATTATTTGTTAAAAAAGAGAGTGTTTTTACTTTACGTGTCTTTTCATCCTTGTCTTTTAGGGCACTGAGGGACTGAGTTCGGCGCTTGGCCTGGGATTTCGGTGAAAACTTTTTAGGTGATTCCACTGGCTCAAATACATCATCGTCATCATCGTCTATGTCATCATCTGGCTTGAACACTAGGAAAGAAGAGAAATAATTTTATACTGCCGTTAAGACACATGACAAGACAAACCAACTGTAATGTCATAATAATTAAAATTAGATTTAAAAATTTACACACACCGCATTTAACATGCCTATTTATTTTTAACTAGAATTAAACAGCCTACAAACTTTAAGTAACCCAAGAGCCCCATGGAGTACTTTGATGGACGATGGGTCACAAAACCTACATAACCCATTGTAACTTATTATAATATTTAATAGTAATAACTATTTTTGATCCACAGGACAATTTTGAATTTATTTCATTCAAAGCATAATTAATAATGTTCATTTATGCCATGAAAAAATAATTATGGTATTTGATTTGGAAATTTCAATATCTCCCCTGAAAAGTATCACTGTGAACTCAAAAATGTTTAACTAAAAGACTGACATTTTTTCATATAACAAGTACATGTAAATTAAAAACAGTGTACATGACTCCTCTAACAAAGGCAATTTTTCTCCACCTTCTATGCTACTATTGTTTAAAACTATTACAGGCAATAACCATTTGAGGATCTGACAATAATTGATGCTCTTTTACCAGATAAAGTTTCATGCTCCATGTCTTATAACAGAATATGGGAAAATTGCTTTCAAATGGCTGAAATAAAAGTTGAAATTGAAAAGTAGCTCTTGGGTCAAGTTACATAAGTAATTCATGGTAAGATTATGTGGTAATTACCATCTTCTGCTGCCTGTGTGGTCAGCCTGTCACTCTGACTGGCTGGGGGTGTGGCCTGAGTGTTGGAGGCTGCCTGGGCACTTGTGGTGGGCTGGGGAGGAGGCTGGCCATGGCTGGTGGGAGGGGGAGGTGGTGGTGTGGCAGCTGCCTGAAGGGCTGCACTGTTGGATATGTTGAGGAAAGGCACCAGGCACTGCCAAGGGTAGACACGGACCTCTTTTGAAGCTGGTGGTACAAAAAAACATTTAAATGTTAACCTATAGAAAACTTTGAAAAGCTAAAAATCCAATCTTCAATAATAATGGCAAGAGAAAACTTTCATCACAAACAATTTCATGGTCATAAGTGCTTTTATAACGGGGAAAGCATCTGCTGAGTAGCGGAGACAAACAGGGCAGTGTGGAGTTTGGTTGGAATCGGCTTTGGGGATGGTGGCTGGTTAAATGCCACTTTGTGTAAAACCAATAAGTAAGTATAAATTCAATTATTAAAAACAGGTAACTATTGATTAAACTGCTCATGACATACATAGACAAATGAAACTAGAGCTGCAAATTAAGCAATATAAAAAAATAAATAATGAGAGTAGTCCTAACTTTCAAAGCAGTGTTTAGAATTGGGATGCAGTTTACAAAATGAAGATTAAAATATATTGGAGTCTGGCACTCTATAATGTGGCAGATAATGATTCACTGACTGTGTCCCTGTAGTGGGGCGCAGTGAAACAAAGAAACGCACAAACAAAAGCAAAGTAAATAAAAAGGATTTAAAAATAAGGGCGATGACAGACTTATGGACCATGGAGTCACATAGAGACGAGGCGAGTAATACGTCTCTTGAATGTGGGGTGCCAAACCTAGTTTTCAAAAGTTCCTATTTACTTTCATAGGTGGTTGAAAAAATGATTTACAAGTAAAAAGTGGCAGAATTGGGGCTTAACCAGGTGCAATTTTTACACCACGTCAGGGTATTTTTAGAAATAGTCCTACAACCTACCTTCTGGCCTTTAAAAAAAAAATCTACAGACAGTCCTACACTTAGGCTACACCATACCACTCTTTATTGATTAATATGATAGTTGCCTTTTTTTAAAACCTGAAATGACAACCCACGCAAGACAACCTTTTTTTCACTCAGTAGGCCTACTATTAATAAAAAACATGTAGAGTTGGAGGGAGGGCGGTTCCGAAAAGGAAGCAGGACACACCAGAAGCAAAATATATATAAGAAGAAATGGTCTAGCGATTTTCATAGTGGGTTACTATTTGAAATTGGGGGGGGGGGGGGGGGGGAGAGGGTGTGTGACTATTAAATAAAAAAAAATGACGTTTGATTAAAATTAAATGATATGGCAGATGGTTAAAAACTTATTTCATTACACAACCTGCCTAAAAAGCGATTCATGTAATTTTACTATAAAACTATAAAGTGTATTTACTTCACTAGCATAAAAATTCATGGGCCGTTAGTAACGGCATCGGCTTTTACTAATCTTAAGCTAAGCCTTATAATTTCTAACACAGCTATGACTCTTCGGGCCCCTGAAGCTTTTTGTCTAACCACCACATATGAGAAGGGGTGGGCGGGTGTAAGAGAGTTGGGGCTGCACGGATTGCTGCAATGATTCACACTCCTTTGTAAATAACATCGCGGCTTAGTAGGGTCGTATCATTAATCACGTGATTACACACAGTTGGTTGCAATGATTCATTTTTCCATTTCTAATTTTCTAATATCAGAGTCGGGCCCTCCAGGCGTTGAATAAAAAGAAATGTATCGGTATATGATTTTTAACTGCTGACACTCTATGATATTTAAATTGCATACCATATTTGCTAGTTATTTATTTTATGTCAGAGAACTAATCTTTGGAATCATCCACAATGTGATAATATAGCAATATAGGCAACCGACAAAATAGAAACAATTATTTTACTCAAAAGAGTCTATTGCTAATTGCATTAAAAAATGTAAATGACTACTATTGCTTGAAACTTTTCTGGGGTGAATAGCCCTAATCAAAGTATGTGTATAATTTTTTTTTACTCAAGTAGTATTTTTTGCTTTTGAAACACCAACATATGCCAATACGGGAGTAAGGAGGGAGGCTTACGCTTCGCCCTTTAAAAAAAATCTGGGCCGTATCTTGTCCAATGAGAAGAGGTGCCCTGGAACGTGCATTCACAGCACACCCAATGAAACCACTTTGATCGTTCCGCGAGGCCATGGAATGCTGTTTATTATTGAGTCGCCGGAATGGAAGAGGGACCGGTTGCACGAAGGTTGGCACTGACGAGCTTTACCCGCGAAGTGGGAACGATGAGTGTACACATAATAAGCGTTGGCTTCCTGAAGATGTTGGGATTTGAAGTTTTAAGCAAAAAATAATAATAATAATGATTGAGCGGGGGGGG